ACGAACTTCCGGCAAAGCCTTTAAACAGAGCCGTCACGGCGGTACAAAAGAATGGAAATTACCGGTACAGAGAGAAATTGTCTCTAAAAAAAAAAAAAAAAAAAACTGTAAAAGCCGCTGAAACAATGTATACAGAAAAACGTGTAGGGCGAAAATGTAAATTTTGCGCAATGTTAAAAAATGCAACGGTCCTGTTGTGTGCTACGGTATACCCCATCGTTACTTTTTACAGGCTCATTGTTGTTTTTTCCTTTAATCTTCTGTGCATTATCTTACCGCGAGGCTATATTTCTCCGAGCAAATACTCGCCGAGGATAACTGACAACACAAGTTGTGCTTTTAGCGAAATCGTCCCAACTACCGCCGCACCGGGGTTTACCATAAGAGTCAGCCGCGTTATCTGCCTGTTACCACCCTTAAATGCATACGAGTATTGCGCGTATTGTCTACAATCGATTACACTGCTGGCAAGTGGAAACATTCCAAGAGTGTGTTTTCATCGAACCCACTTCAATTTAACTAAAACGCATAAACGTTCGATAAGAAACAAATGTGCGAGTGCGCCGAGTGTTGTCTCTCCGAGCAACATAAAGTCGTAGCTACATGTATGCTACCTTTTAACGTTCCTGCAACTGAGGAAGACCGAAATTATAAAATAAAAAATAAGTCAAACTAGCTTATTAAAAAAAAAAAAAGAATAAGTATAATTTGTAAAATGTCTATGGATTTAAAAAAACTTGAGCAACTTATGGTTATATATAATAAAATAACCCCTATGCCAAGAATGAGCTTGTTCAACACATTCAGAAATTTATATCTGAAACAAATTTATCGATATGTTTCATGTGGGTCCCATCTCATATAGGAATACCCGGAAATGAGAAAGCAGACACGGCAGCATATGAAGCCACCACATCCCCCCTCTCCACAAAAATCCAGACATTAACCTCACCCGAAACCTTTAACATAATTTACCACAAAATAATGGAAAAATGGCAATTTTTTTGGCTAAACCTTCCTCTTTCCAATAAACTTAGAAATGTAAAACTAAACGTTAAAAAATTGAAGTACCCCCATAACATTAAAAGAAGAGATGAAACAAACATCACCCGAGCTAAAATAGGCCACTCTCACCTATCCCATGCATACCTTATCAACAAGGAACCAGCACCAGTATGCGACACTTGCAAGCAAATATCATCGATAGAACACATAATCATCAACTGCCCCAAATATAGAGAAGCACGAAAGAAACTCAACAATCCTCTCACACTTCACCAAGCATTCAAAGAAGAAAACAACACTGAAATCATCAAATTTTTTCACAATGTAAATACAAGCCATAAACTATAAATATCATGTTATTCTAATTCCTAAATTTATTGTACATTAACTTCTAGGCTAATAATCATGTAATTGAAGTCTTTACCATTAATAAAAAAAAAAAAAAAATATTTAAAACCCCCTTTACCATAAAATAATACACTCTCCACGTATACGTATTTCGACAACAATGTTGTCATCTTCAGCGCTAACGACAGTCTGTCTTTATATTTACAAACTTATTGTAAATGTTATTTACAATTATCTCTACTGTTTGCCCTGTGGGCGTTATCATCCTTATGATGAACAAATAAATCAAATAAAATAAATAAAAAAGCTTTACACCTAAACAATACAAATAATATTTTCTTACTTAAATCCTTTACGGTATGAATTGAATTAAAATAAATTGAAGATATTTTTTCTTTTCATATCTGATCAACTTTTAGTTCATTTTAGTGATACGATTAGCCGTCAAGCTGTTAAGAACCTCTAATATATTTCGACGTAGGCAAGATTATCCCATGTAAGTTCTTAAAAGTTGTAAGTTTTGAAAAGTCTTTAGCTCTTTGGTATTAACATTAAACGTATTGTTTTGTAGCTGACCTATTTAACTAACCATGTCAATTGTTGGCTCAAAAACGTTCAAGCTCACTTTTTTTAATTTTACCTCTCTCATATTCGGGGCCAAAGTAACATTAGTAACACTCACTTCCATACCTACATCATTGCTAGTCTCTCTATTTGCTTATAAACATTTTTGAATCAATTACCTTTTTTCCACTTCATTCGACCAATCTTTATGCTACTCACCACAACTTCAACTCCAACATTCTGTTGCATAACTAATTCCAAATACATACATTCTTTCTACTTGAATCGCTTTTTGTTAAAATGGCACATACTTCAACAGGTGAACTTTTGGGAAATGATAAAAAAAACTGAATAACTTTCAAAATGTGGTAACTTTGTAAATCATTTTTTTTATGTGCATGGTACTCGACATTTGTACCAAATTTCAATACTGTAAAAATATTAAATTCGAGTTTATACTAGTTAAACGGTGCAAAAAAAATGTAACATATGCCGTTTTAACAAAAACCGATCCACTTGCTCTCCGAGCGTGTACCCGACTTTTATCCTTCTCTGAAATCTCCTTGTTGTATTAAACCTTTGCGCCATACAGCACGTGTTATCTACCATAGATGTTATCGATTTATTGTTGTTCGAAAACGTCTCATTACAAGACATCTGGGACATATGATATCGTGTGAGATTTGAAAGTTATTTTTCGATCGGTCACCGAGTCCGGACGTCTCGGGATGATTATTTGGCATTTTTCGTATTACACTTATCAGATAATTAAATCTGGAAAACTCAACGGCAAAGGACGATACACGGAAATTCGTCGGTTAGTTGGAAAACGCACTGTCGCTTCACTCGTCCACGACAACCATACACCGGTACCACACACCCGGTAGATAATGGGTTCGCTCCATTTGAACACTAAATCAGACGAGCATCACAAACATAAATCGTTTAACGCCGTGTACGAAAGAGCGGGTCTTTTAAATTCCAAACATTGATTTATTTATACACGAGGAGAAATGATACAAATCGAGATAACTCAAAACCGGCAAGTTGTCTATGCTGCTTTTACCGCGAAACGACAGACGTCTTCCGTTGAAGTAATAACGTAGCAAATCGATCCTCTACCGTGTGTGGAGCAACCGTGTACATTATGACGAACTGCAATTTGCATGTTGTTGTATAAGTGTTATATTACGGTGGTACTGAAAATTTGAAAATTGACTATATTAACTATCATCATTGCAATTTTCAGACCCTGAGCCGAAAAACTACGCCTTAAATTGTAAATAAACAGATTCCACCGCTTATAAGGAATAATAATGGCGTTTTACCTCGAGATCATTCCGCGAAGTAACTTGGTGTACGATACGGTTCAAGATCTATAAGCTGCCCTGATAGCAAAAAAAATAAAACCAGTACTATCTCAAAATTTGTTACGACGGTGAACATGTTCGTGCAAATTATATAAAATCAAAACTAAATAACCCTAATAGTACCGGAAGGCTAGGAACATAAATAAGTTCACAACTAAGAACATTCGGCAGTTGGGGTTGTCTCATTGGTTTCCTGTTGGATACCGGGTAACAAACTTTCTAATAACTCCCCAACTTCCCGGTACTACTAGGAAACTGATCAGGATTATTATTTTGCCCTCGGTTATTAAGTATAACATTGTCGTGTTTATTAAATTAGATTGTTTATAGTATCTAACTCGACGATTGGATTCGCTTATACGCAGAGTTGGACATTTTGTATTCGAATAATGAATAGTAGCAATTATTATAGTAGTAGTAATTTATTCGGAAAAAATGTTTATTCGACCAAATCCAAGATAATTGATTTGAATAATGCCCAACTCTGCTTATATTTCAACTTATACACATTGTCTTAATTTTTACCTAACCTATTTATTAAAACATCAGGCTATAGCCTGAATCTCAAATATTCCAGTTACTGATATGAAAATATAGTATTTGATTTGATGATCTAAGTTTAGTGAGGCTTTTGCATAACCCTAAAACTAAAAAAAAAAAAAATAAGTATATATTTAAGAATACTCCTGTATTTATTACTATGATGTGGTATAATATACCAACTAGCCATTTCAATAACACTATATTCTTAAAATTTAATCTGTTAACAATACATTTATATATTGAAAATAAGATTTTTGGTATTTGTTTCAACCGGCAAACTTTTTAGTTATTTTTCTCAATTGCTTAGCACTACTAGAACTTGATGAACCCGTCATCTGGTGGTATATAATCCTTAAGACGATCATATTTGCTGCAATTTTCTGATAATATTTTATATAATATGATTCCATACTGCTAAATGTAAAAACTCATATTTTTTAAGGAAGACGTCAATCGATAACGTTCAATATCTTAGTGATTCAGTCGGAGGATTTTGAGATCATAAAAATGTATTGCAATAGGTTGGATTCCATTTCACCTACAGGAGTTATATAGTACTGTAGATGATAGAGTTGACAGTTTTATCCTTAACGATACACACAGTTATGACACTGAGAAAACTCCATTTAAACTTTTCTAAGACAAGTAATAACCGCACTTAGAGTAGTCATCGTTACAAATTAGTCGCCATTAGATAAACTTTATTAATTCATAGAAAATCCTTGGAGAATTTAGTAATTTCTCTGTAAGTTTTAATTTCAAGGACGGTAAACGAATTTAAGATAGTTGTACAGATAAATAAATTGTGCATTCATCAACTGTATACTAGACAATTATCCAAACGGTTTTCCCAAAAAATCTTTAACCGAGTAATAGTTTTGTTTAAAAAAAAAAAAAATAGAACACCTCACCGGTCTTAATAATGAAACCAGAGAAAATGTTAAACACAACGAAAATAAGGTTATCGATTTTATTTTGTCGGGTACATCTTAAAAGCACCGACCTAATGGGTTCGAGCACTGTCTTTTCTCCCCCCCCCCCCCCGTCTATTTAATCCGAATCTAGTCAACGTGGCCCTTATCTCGTCTTAGACTAAGTACCGAAGTGTAAATTCCAAGTACACAAATGACAATCATTTTTTAAGTTTTTTTTTTGCTCTTACTGTTTCAGAGACAAGGTTGTATCCACGGCGAAGAACTACCGTACATATTCGGCGCTCCTCTGGTGGGCGGATTGATGCATTTTCCAAAGAATTACACAAAGTCAGAAATCCTGCTCTCCGAAGCCGCGGTTATTTACTGGAGTAATTTCGCCCGGACGGGGTAATATATTTTATTAGCATAACATGAAAATCAAAAGGAAGATACGGCGTTAGTTACTCACCGAATACACATATATAATACACCCGAAGCGTTCGACATACTCTTTTTATTTATTTATTATATTACTTATTTTCTACTCCATGTACCGACCGACAAGTAGTTCTTATTCGACACACATATATCCCTGTGCACTTCGGATACTCGGTAAATATATAATGATGTCAAATGAACATAGTCTTTTAAATGAGATTCATTGATATTTTATCGTTTTGCCTCGAATGGACCCCGTTTTTATTACTGCACCGCATGGTTCGTTATATGGTATGGAACTTACTCTTTAAATACCAGCGGGCATTCCAAGACACATACGGTTATCATAAACATTTTAGTAGATTACAAATAATCAATGACGCTATACAGTAAAACCAACAATAAACTACCTAAAAATAATTTTGCTACTGAATTTGATTGGTATGGAAAAGGATAGTTTCATGGAACTAGGTGTTTATAAACTAATGGTTGACATTATCGAAAAATTTACCTATTTCATTTGTACCGAAATCATTACAATATAACGTAAGTGTAAAATTGGTTTTTAGAAATCCAAACGAACCCCAGGACCAAGATATGTTGCACAAACAAGAACACGGCCGGTTCAAGAACATAGAATGGACCGCATACGAAACCGTGCACAAGAAATACTTGAGTTTAGGTTAGTGTGTACTAATAAAACAATTCGACTACATAAAAAACAATTATTTCAACGTTCGTTTTTAGATACTAAACCCAAGTTGAAGAGTCATTACAGAGCGCACAGACTGTCTTTTTGGTTGAACTTGGTGCCTGAGCTTCACAAGCCCGGCGAAGATGTTCCATATTCCCATCACATGTTTCAGACCGACCTTCAAGGAATGACTTTTAAACCCGTATGTATTAGACTTTAATCAGTAATTAGGTACATTATTGAAAGTATTTAATTTTAAGAATAACGAAGGCATAATAAAGATTACTGCATAATTAATTTGTCTTACACTAAATCTGGAACAGATTATAATGCAGGGTGGCCCACAAAGATTTGACAAATTAAATAACTTTTGTTCTAGTGAATATTTTGGATTTTTTTTACTTTTAATATAGTAATATTATACTCATTTGCGCTATAAGCACCGCGGTTTTTATTGCACTTACCTGTTTTACTTTTTTAATTTTTTTTCAAGATAGCCATTTTATTCAAAATAATTTTTAAAAAATATGTTTCAACGCAATAATTATTTAGTTAGTACACTAAATCAAGTCATATTAATTAATATTTGTAAAAAATCGATGGTTGTATCGCATGCACTTAATTATTTAAATTACACATATTGATATATTACCAGATTTATATGATGCGAGCATGACGTTTTATTTCCTTCGAGAGTGCAAAAGCATTAAAAAATACATTTTTCTTAAGAGTATATAATATTTGTAATATTAAATGTAGTTAAACTAAAACCTAAACACGCACCGTTGTAATGTAGTATCATCGTGCGAGTTTCATCAGATGATTTTTTTAAAAATATTTATTTAAACAACGTATAATAATATACTTTTGTACAATATAAAGATATTCAATAAAATATCTTTAAAAGTAAAATTCCGTCCGTTAATACTGCGCCAAAGTAACGCGATAGAGATTAAATTAAATTCTTAAGAAATGGAACACAAATAATAACGAAAATAACAAACAGCCGAACACAATAGTACACCTTACGAAATATTTGCCACATTCCTCTGGTGATGCGGAGCGTCAGACACGCTTCGTATTGATAACGCTAAGGAGGTATTTCAATCGAAACAAACACCAGCTATAGTCGCTGTGTTCGCGGCCGGGACGGGTATCAGACGATACGGCCATGATGGGTCGATTGAAGCAGGCGAGTCAATAGGGAAATATTGTTTTCAAGCAAACGCGAACGTCTTGCCACTCGGTGTGGACTATAAATAATAATAATAATAATAAGAGAACCCGACCCGAGGTTTATCGTAAACTATATGTTTGTTTAGAAGTGTTTGCGCCGACGACCGAACGCTTAAAAGTTAGTTGCCCAAGCTTCGTTGGCGCACATTCTTAAGTCGCGTCAGCTTATTCTTAAATAGAGCAAACGGAAGTATTTAGAAGTTTGCCAACCGACTAAGGCACAATAAGAACATGATTTATGAACCGATGCGACGCTGAGCCGGGCGTCCGGTTTGAACATTATTATTATTCATTAACAGCCATCGCGGTCGTTGTTAAAACAATAATCATTGTTGTTGTTGTTGTTATTATTACCATCATCGCCGGGGTAAACAGTTTTTGGCATTTCCCCTCCCCCCACCCCCACATCTGATAATCGATTATGCCGACCTACCGTAGCCAGGACTAAATAAGCTGGTTATGCTGATTGCATTTTTGAAAATATATTTTCCTGGAGTCCGGGTGCTTGATTTTGTACGCATCTCATTCGGTGGACATTCTACGAAAAAAATTATTTAAAACGCTACACCGTATGGCTTCAATATAAAAATGTTTTGTCTTGTTAAATATAACTAGAACGAATTCCAACGAGTGATTGTAAAATGTTTAAAAAAACGCCAATGTTATTTTTTTTTTTTTTTTGTGGGAGGAAGGGGGAATACATTGTACTCCATTTAAATATAACTTAAATTCGAATTTAATTTTTATTTATTTAAGGTACAAACGCCTATGGCTTTTGACAAAATAATAATCATAAACACACACACATACATATATTTATAAAAATATATAAATTAATCACTACTAATATTATGTATTATACGCAATACCAGAAAAGCTGTAAATTAGGCTCATCACACTTTAATAGGCTATTAACCAAATACATGGCTTTCCCTAATGGGTCATTTCCTAATCACTTAATTCTTACAGGATCTAAGTAGTAGAATTTCTGTGATCGGGTTATCCCAGGGACTCGAATTCCTGTACGGGCCATTTTACACAATGAATAAGCATAGTTGTAAGCGCAATAGTAATTTTTTTTATAATATAATATATTAAAACAACTTTGACATCATAACTATTAAAAATTAATATAATATTTTTAGATTTTTTTTGTGTATGAAAAAGCAATTATTCAAGATAATTTTTGACACTTGTGTATTGATATTTTTCTAACGTATATTATATTCTGATTGGATATTTTCTTATTGTATTTCTAAGTATATGGATAAAACTGATAGATTTTTTTTATTCATTCAGTCAAACTCAAATAAATGTACATAATTCTACAAATGAGAAAACAAATGATTTAATTATATTTTTTGAAAAATCACTTTTACAAGTGTTCCAAATTTTAATCCAATGTTAGTCCGGTAACTATCGAGTGGGGTAAAATTCTTCATGAAATTTAAGTGTAGAGTCAAGTGAGCATACATTTGCCTTTTACATATTTACATAATGTAAAAGGAAGAAATATCGATTTATACCAGTTTCACATGAGTAAAACAATAATTTAAAATGTATTGGTTCCGAACGATTTAATTAAACTATCTTAGAATTCTAGGAATGAATAAAAAGTTATCAATATTACAAGTTTTTTTTATAGAAAAACCAAAAAAAGTATTTCAAGTTTTATTAAAAGCGCATAAACAACATAAGATCAAAAACATTTATACAAAGGGCAAATTTACAATCGCTATTTAGTATTCACCCTAACTGACCTTACCTAACTAAATATGTAGGTAGGTAAAATAACTAATAAGGTTTTTTTTCATTGGTTTTACAATATCAAAACATGTTTAACTAGATAAATTATTTTTAATTTCAGTTTTAAAAGATTCAATTTAGTGTCAAATATTTGATTTTTTGTAATGGAAAGATTCTACACGTGGATCATATTAGTTTTAATAATAATACAGTGGCTTCACGTTACATGTCCTAGCTATTTTTAGATAAACGTAGAAAATTGCTAGATTATATTGTGTACCTGTGTAGGCTGTTCGGATAACATTTTCCATTTTGCACGAACTTCCTTTTCACTAAAATGAATACTATTTTTTTTTTTTAATGAATTACTCCTACACTTACTTTTTATTTATATTTTTAAGATTAAAAAAATATTTGGTGCCTGAACATTTTTTTTATCCGACTAATTGCTAAAAAGTTGATGCTTTTGAAAATTCAACGTCCAGACGGGCAACATTGTACCTTAACAATAACAACCCCTACCCCCGCCCTTCCTCATCCCTTTTATACCTTCAAACCATGATAGTTTCGAGAATTGTTGCTCGAGAGAAGTTTAAAACAAGTGAAGGGTGCCATTTTTAAATTCTAGATCGGTGGTGTTTTAAAGTAATAGTAGAGGAAATAAAATCTTGAAAGGATGTTAAATTAAGCGTTATAGTTTTTTTTATTTTTTGTAAAATTAAGTAAAACTGTAGTAAACATCAATTCTTCTGAGACAATGGCTAGCTAGTCTTATCTGAGTGACCCTAAATTTTGGATTTATATTATTTACTCAGTCAATAACTGAATAGACAACAATTTTCAGTTGGGTTCGTGAAAACTATGTAGTCGTTGAGTAAAACTTCCTTTGTTAAGTATCCACTGTGTGAAAACTTGTTTCCCTTTATTTTCACTGTCCTTTTTTTTTTTTAGGGTGCGGAACGGACGACTAGATTGCCGGACGTGTACTACAGAGGGGCACAGCCCCCGATACTTATGCAACAGCCTGGGAACAACAAGAATTCCACCACCAGTAGTGCAACCGGTTCGGAGAACACTACCACGACTGTACTACAGCCGCCGCCGGTCGTCGTGGCGTCTTCGTCGTCTTCGGACCGCGGTGACGGCGCAGGAGTGGACGACGACAGACAACTCAAGGACGCGGCGGCCGGCGACAAAGACGACGGTCGGTCTTCGGCGGCCGACGGACAAGACGACGGCGGTGGCGGCCCGGGCTACGCGTCGTTCCCGTTGGCGCTGGCCGTGGCCATCGGCATTGGCTGTTCGCTGCTGTTCCTGAACATTATGATATTCGCCGTCATTTACTACAACAAGTCGACGGGCGGCAGCGGCGGTCGACGGGACAGCAGAGACTCGGTGGACGGCGATGGCGAAAACGACCGACAGGCAGACAGGATGAGGAAAATGAAAAAACGAACAGAAAACGGCGGCCCCATGAGCAACTTATGCTCTACCGGAGGTAAATAATATTGGCTAATTTTAATGACTCAAGTACAATAAATGAAAATGTTAGAAACAATACACTTTTGGTGTTAATGAATTTATTGTACAACCTGATAAAGAATATAAAGGGTCTTTTTTTGCATGTATAATATTATAAGTGTTAACTTGTATTTTTTAACGAAATTGCTTTCCTGTGGTCATCCCTTGTTGATAGATACACATGGACGTTTTTTAATAACGCCGACCTCTCGTCCGAACTATTGATTAACAAAATGATATCGCACGTATGAGGTACTCATTAGAATGTATGTTATTATTATTTCGAATCCTCGCGGATCTGGTAAACATGGTAATGTTGCCGTAAATAATTATTGTAAAAGGGTGTGTGTATCGCGGCCATGTATCGTTTCTGATATTAAATCCAGAACAATTCAACGTGACCATTAATAACGTTTTTGCCTCGGTGTTTACGATCGTGACATTTATGTGAGATCCTAATTTGGATTTTATCGTTGCGAAACCCTGGAGACTATTTTTTGTTTGTTGTGTTTCTACAAAACATTGCGAACTCGGGTTATCATCCGGTCGCGCCGGATTTTTAAAAAGCATACAGTGGTGGCTTTTTATTATTACAATGCAACAAAAAAAGAATGAAACATTTATGTATGTATATATATATATGTGTGTTAGTTAAAGGAACGCCTTCTATAATTTTCTCGCCCTCCAGAAAAACCTTAACGTCATACGTTTTCATAACACATTTATGAAAAAATATAATATAGTAAAACGTCTTATACATTTTTTCTTCGTGCTGTCCGTACAGTATCTACGGTTTAACCAAATGCCATTCCATTTTCCAATTAAGTGTTCTAAACATGTGAGCGACAAAAGAATTTACACTAAAATGTTTATATTTTAAACATTTATTCTCAGTCTGTCAATAGCGCTAACCCCACATTTACATTCAGCCCACTTCCGTGGCAGTGAGCATGAAAGTAACGCGCGAGCATGTAAATACGTCACTCGCGCTGACCACGCTCCTCGCATTTTCGCTGCAAATTAAACCATAGTTGGCGACTCGAAAACTGGCCCGTGACCAGTGGTTATAATAATGGTGGAAACAAATGGCAAGCAAGTGGCATGGCGGGCGGAAAACTGTTCACCGCACTACACCCCACCCGTGATACATGGGTTCTTAAGCTGAACAGTTTTCCACCCGCCTGCCATTTATTTCCACCATTGTTTTAACCACTGACGGGAAACGGCCGCTAGAGTCGCGTCGGTCACGGGCCAGTTTTCGTGTCGCCAACTATACCGGTGTTAGTTTTTTCCCCCAATATTTAGTCACGTACTCATTGTAATCTTTGTCGTTACAGGAGCAACCGAGTTGCTGCAAATGATGGAAACTCGAACGGCCTCGTCACAACAACTGCAACAACAACCTCATTCAATACTGAAAAAGCCTCCTCCGCCGGTGTCGCCCACGCAGGTGGTGCAGCCTGCTCCACCGGATCTCGGCGGTGGCATGCACGTCGTACCGGTACACCTGGGTGGTACCGGCGGCACGAGTCAACGAGTCTCGCAGCCTCCGCCGGTTGAATTCGCAGACGTGTCTCAGCTGTGTTACCGCGGTGCAAGCGGCGGCGGCGGTAGTGCGACCACGCTGCCCCGTCCACCGCCGCCGCCCAAGTGTCTCCGTCCGGACCAACATCACCACCATCACCATCACCATCAGCAACACGGTGGAACACTGAGGCGGCACGGACAAGCGACCGTGCCGGCTTGCACGTGCATTACTGTGACGCCGCCGGTTCAGTCACAGGCACCGCCCGCGACGGATCCGGCCAAAACGGTAGAGGAGCTGCACGTGTGACAATCGAAAGGGGCGGGACACCGCCGTTCGTCGGACACCGAAATCGACAGGCTAGCCAGCGATCTGACCAGGATTTGCGACCAACTCCGCGAATCGTCCGCAACCAGACAGCCTGGAGACCTGTTCTACTTATGACGTTAAAACAACTGCACCCTGTACATAACACGCTATTATTATTACATTTTAGGACTAATACATTCTATTAGTGTATTATACATGTATTGTATAGTGTATAGTATACATGAAATAAAATAAAATAATTTTATTCTGATGAAACCATAAGTAATAACTCGATTTAACTTAGTTGAAATGTATGATTTCTTTTAAATTTTACTTCCATTTTTTTTTACTTACAATAATTAGAATGAATCGTTACAGAAATGTATTTAAATTTACAATTTATTTTACTGGAGTTATTACACTTTCATCAGAATAACCTAAATACTTCAAACTACTGTTATGTTGAATAATATTGTAAATAAGATTATTTTAAGTCGTTTTGTAACACACTCGTTGTTTTTCTTGTCTGTTTTTTTTTTGTTCGCGTCTATCGAAATAATTTAAAATGTGAGAGCAATACGTTGATATTAGAAATAAATGATTGTTTTTGTAAGAAAAAGGATACAGTTTCCGAATTCCTGCAATGTTAAATGTTTGTTTCAACTTTTTACTATGTTAACCTAGTTACCAGACGGTTGTCACGAATAGTTAAAACTTGTGATGTATTAAGTATGTATGCTTTTGGAAATATATCGTTGAAGGTGATTATAATAATTAATGTTATCTGATGTATATATAAAAATGTCTAATGCAAAACATAATTGCATGCGATTAAAAAAAGAAACTAGATTCACTACGATAATGATTGGATTAAAGACAAAGTATATGAAAATTAAAAAAAAAATCGTCAATAACTCGGATTGTTAAATTGTATTATTTAATCGGTATATATATTTTATATTGTTTAACCGAATTTCAACACAAAATAAATATCAGTCAAATCACTCAAGAAATAGTAATTTAAATAATTATTTCATTATAAAGTTTCATTATAAGTTTGAACATTTTTATGGCACTTATTCGTTAGTTTTAATAGTAAATTGAAGAATAAATTACATTATGATCAAGTTTGGGCGATTTATTAGTTTCTAGTATTATTCATTTGTCAATTTACAAGTTAAAGTTACTATTTAATCTTCGTCAGGGTTTAGAATGTTTTTTTTTATCATTAACTTTATTTAAAATGCTATGTCAATATTAACTATTTCTTGATTTCTTGCTTCGGCTTTTTTGTGTCAACGTTTGTAAGTTATTTTATTTTTAAAGCAGCAAAACCTATGTACTAGTATTTGAGTTAGCTAAAAGCTTCAATGATATATAATTGCGCCCAGGCTTGATGTGTATACGACTTGATATAATTTGAGATGCCCAATTAATAAAATAATTGTCCCAGTTGGTCTCTAACTAACAGATATGGTCACATTGACCGTTGTTATGTTTTGTGCTATACGTTTAACAAATGTAGATATAATTGATTTTTCCGAAAAACTTCTAAGAGTATAATGTCTATAAAACGGATGTATAGGTACCGGTTAAGTGTATTGCACAACACTGTTTTCTTAATTGAAGGGGTCAGCGGATAAAGGTGTTAGCTAACATTGTTTTGAAAATGCATTTTATTGCATCAATAAAACGGTTATAGCGTTATAGTATTTAGTATAGAGGATCTCTAGACCGATATTTTTCCTCTTATAAATTATTTCATCTATTGAATGTACAAAAGTTCCATAGCTTTCGTGCAACATTTAGTTACAAAAGTGGCGTTCCTGAACAATTTCAAAAATGTCAGTTAACACCTTTGTCCGTTGACCCTTTCAATTACTTCTTGTGACGTCAACTCAGTAAAATAATTCCACATTAAAAAATGATTAGGTACAGAAAAAAACCGTACATACAATACCTTATTATATTGTGTAATTACCTTTCAAATGTTTGTGAATAATTGTTACTCCATCGTGGTTTAAATTGTAATTTTAAGCCATTAAATATTATTATTATTATTATTGCTAGCTATTAACGTTCAAGACTATATTTTTAGTGTACCGTTAACATTATCATTATTTATTAAATTGTATAAACTAATTTGTGTACAGGTTCAAAATCTTTTTGTAAAAAAAACCAAAAATATTTTTTAATAATATAAAAAACGAAACGAGATCATTGTGAACGTGAAAATAATAAATGTGGTTCATTAACAATAAACTGAATTATTACTTGCATTATCCGGGTTTATTTTTCTTCTATTAAAATAAAAACAAAAGAGGTTCACTTCGTTTCACTGCACACCACTTTAACACAAAAATTATAACAATGATATAGAAATTCATTTTAAATATTAAGATTGTTGTTGGAAATAGTAGTTCATGACATAAACCGTGATGAGTGCAAAATAACAATAATGATTAGATAAATATGGCTTCTTTTTTTGCAAAATCTTTTATAAAAAATGTACAATTCTTTTTTCGGAGTGTTTTTATTCTTAGTTTATAGAACTTTGAATTGATGTTTAAAATTGACAGTTGGAAAACTTAAAACAAGTGCTAGGTACAATTAAAGATCATAAATTAACTTTACAAAACAACATTCCTTTTTAACACGCTTATATTAGCTTCACTTGTATGTATGTTTGTATGTAACTATGTAACTAAAAGAGATAGGCAACCGAACGTACATACGTGTATTCATTGTTGTTTACCTAAAGTTTTCAAGTAATAGAGACACGTATGTACTAGAATTTAAAAAAACACGATTTTAATTTTTTATTAATTGATTTCTATATTGAAAATTAATTTCTACTTTTTAGTTTTTTTACTATTTAAGCGTGTTTTTATTAAAACAGTATTTCTTAGTTTTGCTCACCTAATCTAAACGCGGAATAGGTAATAATTTTTGTTTTTTGTTTTTTAACGGTGAAACTTTTTTGTTACCTCCAAAAAATGATTTTGCTTTACACAAAATGTTGTATTTACTCGAGACCATGTTGAATCGTTAAAATCCCACGAGATTTCGCCAATTATTTTGTTCCAATAACATAATGGACTTTTTAGTTCTTCTGAGTTAAAGTTTCCTTCCCATGAAGTGTAATTACAAAAACGATTGATCGCGTTATATAAAGCCCTTGTAAGTGGTAAGATTAGTTTTGAAAACCACACATAATTTAATTGTTCATAAAAACCAATGACTGCTCTAACATTGATCGGTTGTTTGATTTGGAAATTGTAAATCCCGTTATTTGATATTCTATATTTTATTACTTCAGTAAAGTTCATTTTTACATACTACATAAAACCAATTTTATAATTCGTAAAATTATTTTACGATAAATAACAACATTTTATTGATAGTTTCATTTTTAGTTTTAACGTTATACCTACATTTAAACATAGTTTATTATTATTATTATATTAGGCGAATATTAAACCAATATTTGAAATCGTTAGTTGATGATAGTTGATCTTGCAGTATCTATGTGTATGGAAATTTTGTATTTTAAACAGCAAAACATTTTAAATACCGAAATCAAGATCCATTTTTATAGATTAGATGCTATGTTATATATTTTTAAGCAGATATATTTAAAAGTGACCTTGTATTTTTAACATAACGTTGAGTTGAGTAGAATCAATGTTTTATTTTGTACTTCCTGATCAATATCCATGGTGTTAAATAATATTAATAGTTCATGCAATTATAGTCAATTATAGTTGACAAAAATACTGAAATGAAAATTTTAACATCAAAATTTAACCGATTCAAAATGTATTTTATCCATCGAAACGTATCGTTAATAATTTATATATATATACTAGAATTCAATTGAATTGAATAAATTACCACTACTGTGCTTACCAGTCGTGAGTACATTGGTTGCTGGCTGAAATGTGTGTTACTATGCTGAAACGGCTGCGATAACAACCGTCTCAGACTTCAGTTGTTTTTCAGCTTTTCACGAGCAAACGACATTTTTGTTGGAAATACAGTTTTTGCGTTTCAAGTATTATATCTAATATTCTGAAACATGTGCTCTACGGAGAAGATTTTGTGGGCCGGCGGCGCCGTTCTAACGGTAACTGGCGGCGGTTACCTGCTCTATAAGGTACGCGTATGAACATACATATTGTTCGATGACACGTTCAACGACACACCTTCGACCAGGGCTCGCTGTTTTGTCAGTGTCAGCACAATAGTTATTAGTTTAAATAAAAATTGTTCTCGTGTTCAAGGCCAAAAAGAAATGGTGGGACGCGGCACCGGTAGAACCCGCATCGGTAGAACTTGCACCATACTTGCATATACCATCGACGGTTCGGTCCGGAGGCGGTGAACTGCCGAGCCCCGTGTGGCTTTAGGGCCACACGCTGAGGTAACACATTCATTAGTTTCCACAAAAAGCAACATACTGCAACGCGTTGATAATATTTCTTAGTCAGTCTCCTTTTTTTTTCTCTCTGTTAATATTGAACCCAGGTATATTTAACTTGTTTGACTCTACTGAACTCATATCTACAGACTTTCAGGTGTGGAAAAACGGCCGTACTATCATGTTGGAGACCACTACAATTATAAGTTGTCTACGGCCGCCGTGTTTGAACCCATCACGTGGTTTTTTCTCTCTATCTATTCAACCTGTCATCCCTGTGGTCGCATTCATTTTGTTAGCCGCCGTCTCAGCCATCCTCGCCGTGGTTGGCCGTCGACTAAGTTTTGTAAATAAATAGTTATTTAAGTTTATGTAGAAAAATTGTCCTGTTTATTCCCTTTCTCGTGAAAACCTTAGTGATACTAATACACTTAATTAATGATCACCTAATAAATATGTACTGTGTTAATACGGATGTTGTTGTTTAATATGTTAGGGAACTCGGGGCAATTGCCCTGGTGTCGAAACACTTAAGCTAAAATATTATGTACTTACTCGAAATAAGTGTATCGACACAAGGGCTTTAAAAACCAAATCGCTATTTTACTACTTTATCTATTTTACTAGAGCTTCGCTCTAGCTGGGGGCTCCGCCCCCAGGACCCCGAGTCGGGCGGGTAGGTCACAGATTCCTGGTACTGTACCCGGCTACGCCGGGCACGCTCACGTCCCCTCGCTGCAAAGTATTTTCGGGGAGGTCACAGATTCCACGGTATGTGGAAGTCAGTGCACAGCGGTTCCTAGGGGGGTGCCCGGCTGCGCCGGCCACGGTGTCGAGCCATCGCAATACGTCTTAAAGGAATGACGTTATAATTCATGGTACCTGTAGGCTGTATGTAGTAATCAGAATTCATACCTAGTTATGGACAAATATTTGCAAGCTAAGTACTGATTAAGTGTAGAGTAAGTCTAGCTATGTATCTGTAATTTTTTTAAATTTTAAATTGAAAAGAATAGTCTAGAAGTTAGACGGTTAATAAATATCAAGTGTCCGGTGTTGCTTACTTGGGTTGCTACCACTTTTACCAATTTTTATGAACTAACAATGTCCAGTTCCTCATCAGCGGGCGGAATTCGTATTGAAAACTGATAAGGACGGCAGGTCTCCGAGTGTTTTGGCATTCACTCGCTCCGCCAACTAAAAATATCCTAGGTTTGTAGGCTACAGTCTATGAGGAGGTAACAGGTTTAAAATTAAGTTTAAATTAAAATTTTAAAAAGTTAAAGAGGCTTGATAAGAAGCTGGCCATTGGGAAAAAGTGTACAATGGAAATTGTCTTTGGTAAAAGTTGTTATATTATAGACCACGTCATCAATATAGGCCGGCGTCATCCCGCTTAATTTTATGAGTTGAAAACAGATAAAAATGTCTAGAGGACAGTCAGCTAAATGTCTGTTAATATTTATCTTTGTGAAACAAAATTTGTTTAAACGTAGTATGTTATATGTCTGTACACAGCAGTTCCGAGGGGGGTGCCCGGCCACGGTGTCGAGTCAGCTCACTACGTTTTAAAGTATACCGTTATAATTCATCGTACCTTTATCTAGTAATCATAGTTCATACTTAGTTTCAAAAAAGTGTTTTGCAACCAACAGCATAATGCATTAAATATGTATATTAAAGGTCTGGTGGTTTAACAGAAGTTCATAAGTGTTTAAGAATTCAAGAGTAAATCACATGAATGAAATGTCTAGAGTTTATATTAAAACTTAAAAGGAAAGGAAGTGAAGAGTGATAAATACATTATTTTGATTTTTGATCGACTATTTGGCAGAGCTTATAAAAATGTCCAAAGAGAGGTTAAATGAAATGTCTCGATGCAAATCTTTTAGTTTTTGGATCTGGACCTATAATGCTAAAGGTACTTTGATACTTAAGGTCTGACGTTTGTTGGTTATTAGAAGTTTAAAAGTGTGGAAGAATGATATGTTTGTGTGACGGTTACTTAGGAACTCAAGAGTAGAAAACATGAATGAAATGTCTGAAATAATTTGTAGCAAATATTTTTGATTATTCGAGTGTCCGGCGGTGATTATAAAAACGGTCAGAGTACAAAATGGTAATAATAATAATATTCAGTGCATAAAATACCTAAATTATTTGATACTTATCCAGACATATTTTATACATAATAGATAAATTGATATATACATTAATACTTTTTTAAGTAAACCATGAAAGGTATAAATCCATAAGTTGATATATGTTTAGATGGCTAACCAACAATTCATCCTACTAAATGATAATAATCAAACATTTTAAAATAATTTTATTTTTCATTAAGTAGTATCAATTTAAAAAAATATAGCAAATCAAAATAGATTTACTATACTTTTTTAGGGTGGAGCGAATACTTATATTATACTTCTATAAATAATAAAATAGTAAATTAAATGTTGATTTTCAATATAAATTTTAACCCTTTGAAGCACAGCATTTTTTTCTCCGATTTTCTCTGAACATGATTATGAAGGTGGTAATAAATATATACCACTGTGCGAGAGTAGGCTATTTTTTGAAAAAGTGGTATATTACTTATACCACCATGCTTCAAAATGTTAAAATGCAATAAAATGATTTGAAATTAATATTTTATTTTTATGTTCCAATTCAAAACACTTATATCCAAAAAGATACATTTTCTAAACAATTATTGCCGTTTTATTTTGCCTAATAAAATTATTGTTTATTCATGACATTAAATTCTTGACAAAAAACCTTTTATTCGCCGTTAGGTTAGGTTTGGCAATAAACATCTCTTTAGATGTTAATTTACAAGTGGAATATTTAATTTGTTATTAACATAATGTATTTATAAGAAAAACCCGTTTTATGGGGGGGGGGGGGTTCGACTCTTTTACTTTTGTGTCCAATTAAAATGGTTATATTGTATAAAAAATGAGTGTCAGCTATGTTGAAACAGTTTACAGTATTTCCGTTTGTATGTAATATTAATTATAAAAAAATTTTTGGTGGGTAGAAATTTTACCATAAACGATATTAGAACGGCGCATAATTAATTGTGAATACTTGTGGTGACGTCAATATTCTTTTAAACATAAAGTATTATTATTTTATTTACAAATGTGTTGTTTTGAAATTTCAATGATTACATTATATAATGGTACATAGTTTGTGATAAACCATTAATATCGAGTACGCCATCACAGAGCAACATAATAATAATAATTATAGCCATTAAACTCGCTGAACAGAATAATAACGAATTTCCTCTATTTAATTACATTTTTTATTTTTAATCGTTTACATTTTATTTATAATATATATAATATATACTATATATGTATAAACAGATTGAAAAACAACAGATAACATGAGCGTTCTTAATCATTTATGTACAAAATATAAATCATACCTACTTTGAAAAATAAAACAAAAAAGGGAGAAAAAAAAAATATTCAGTATAATAACAACTTTAAAATATTCAATTTGGCTAAATAATAAAATAAAAAATAAAACAAAAAATAAATATTAAGCAATAATATTAATACTCGAGTAAAAAATAATAATCATTATTTTATACATACATAATATAATAATAATATATATATATATATATATATATATCTTATTTGATATGAGTACCAAACTAAATGTAATAATTGCTTTTTACAATGTTATCATTTTTTTTTTTCAGTAGGTATCATAACAATCTTAGCCTAATACGCTACACTTAATCGCGATTCATTTACCGAACGATAATCTTGGTAAAATTTTTTTTTATAATATATATATACAGGACTATAACGTCGAGATTTACATATCGTATCACTCGTTTAGTATAACCGGTATTTAATAATAATAATAATAATAATAATAATATCTTATTTTTAAAACAAAATAATTATTGTACAAATTATTTACATTGAAATGAAAACGTGAATTATCAACACAAAACAAAGTAATAATGAAAAACCAATTAAACGTTAGACAATAATAATAGGTTTCTTTTTAACAACATTCAATAATTTTTTTTTTTTTTAATAATTATATATTATATTATATTTTTTTATAATTGTATTATCTACACGTGCACAAAATAGCATTGGGATTGTCGCGAGACACATTGCTTACATTGACGGGAGCAAAAGTTATTGCTTAAATACGAATTTTTTTTTCGTTTAGCTTATTTTGTCATACGTTTGACGATAACTATAATTTTTTAAATAATAGTTTTATCTTATTAGAATACAAATAATCATCAAGGAGAATTTCCATTTGCATTGTACAATCGTTTTGTACACTAATGCGGTGTACAAAAATGCAAAGGCGCGTTTTTTTAACCAATAATAATATATCATTATCGTTACATATATATATATATATATATATTTGTATATTTATCATACATGAGATACGTGTAGTCGCAGAGGGGTTTTCATAATACATTTATATAATATTATGTATATTTACCTACACTAAAAATATAATTAAATGTACACCGATAATAATAATATTTACAATGTAATTAATAATACGTTTTAGTATTTTATAATATTATTTTAGTAATAAATCAATGAAATAATATGATACAAAGAGATGAAAGGGGCGGGGAAACTGGAGGCAGAGGTCTTTTTTAGATCTTCGAAGGGTGGTCTGGCGGCGACGACGACGGTTCACGGTATTTTCCTTTGTTCACCTTGTTCGCCTTGTTTTGAGCTAGCCAGGTGTTAAACGTATTCCTGTGTACGACAAAACAGTTATTTCGATTAGTCTTTTGGGGTACACACAATAATAACAAAATGAATCCGAGAACGAAAATCATTGTGAGTATACAATAGTGTAAAATATTCGAAAAAAACGCTCTTAGTCGGCCATATATATTTTATTGATGTTTTTCGTTCCAAACTAGATTGTTCAAGAAAAAACGTTAAAATGGGTAAACTAACATCAGTATAATCGAATGCCCATTGTAAAACAAATACTTTTTAATTCAACTGGTAAATGAATCGGGTAAAAACGACCAAAAAAGTATATCTGTATTTTTAAAGGGTACAAAACCAGGAAAGTCACTTTTGTTCTATCTAAACAAAAAACATGTTTAAATAATGTTGTAAAATGTTAAAAAAAATACCTAAACATTTTTATTTTATTCAATTCTTGATTTTAATAATGTTAAAAAATAAAAGGATTCCATTTGGTCATTTTCGAAAAGTGACTCGCCTGTTTTTTTTTTGTACCCTTCATTTGTAGTAAGCACCGTTAATACAAATTAATAAAACGTTTAATTTTAGAAATATTAATTTTATACTTTGCTGTCCAGTACCACGTAATGAGTCGAATAAAAAAATTGCACATAAATAGTATATTTTAATAATATTTAATTTAAGTTAAAAAACGATAATATTATACAATAATTGTCAACTTATAATATTAGCCAGTTATTACAGTTTTGAATTACACAAAAATGTACACGACTTAAAAGCTTATCTTTTACTTAATCTATGAAATGTGTTCAGTATACAAACAGTAATACACATTTTTTTTTTTTTTAGAAGTTTCATTATATTATGTAGAACGTCTGAGGAAAGAGATATATTTATAATATTTAAAGTGTAACTTATGAATGATATAGAGCTTTTTTATTTGGAGGGGGGGGAGGAAAGTTCGCACGGATATTTGTTACTCGATTCGTTTCCCGAACAAATGATTTATTTGTAATAATTAATCTATCGAACCGAGACAAATAATTTTATTAATTTCATTTTTGCCACCATCGAGTGTGGCCGACTTTTTCGGTACCTCGTGTCCTTTCAATAGTGACTTTACCGAAGTTAAGAAAAATCGCTTTGCCTTACTTGCAGTGTTGGTAACAACATTCGAAACTGCAGTAATCGTCGTCCCAGCCGGCACACGACACGGCCACGTTGCCACAACCGTTTCGTGTGCACATGTTGACCGTCTGCTTCTGGGATGATGAGGGGGCACTACCGGCTAATGGCTGTTCTGCGTCGGATTGAAACACCATGGCCACTGCAGAGAAAAACAAAAATCACCATTAAGTCTTACAAAATATTACTGTTGTTGCGTTAGTCAAAATTAAAAAAAAAAAAAAAAACTTCAAGGCGCAGCTAGTGACCAACCCCGCCTACAAGTAGACGTATCGTCAATAGGTAGTCAACGTGTTAAACCATTCGAACGGTTTCGACGCTTTCGGGGGAGAGGATCCGAAACTACTTGGGGGAAAAATATATATACATATATATATATATTGTGTACAGGATTAAGTGGATATTGATTTTATCCGACAAACGAAACCGGAATCCAATAACTACCGTCGGATCCCCTCCTCATTTTCTTGTTATCAGTATTACACAAACATACTATCCCCCTTTGTAGATTCAGTAACGATGGCGACGCGCGGTTGTGTCCCAGAGGAGTTAGTTCGACACCGGCCCGAACTTGTACGTTAAAAAGCACTCTCGTTAAAATAAAAACTATTATAAAACGTCAACAGTCAGGCACGTTTACCATAAAATGCCGTTTACCTCCTTTGGATTTTTCAAATATCGAAATTCAGTTTAACCCCGACGATTGGCAAACACGTTGAACATTCCCATGTATATTATTAGTAACGAAACCATCGGTGTTATGCAAGATTACTATCGTTTTCGACAAAGCCAAAACAAGTGGACGATACAATATCGCTAGGCATCCACAAACGATTAGAACTGGCCAGTAGTGAAAAAGAAAAGAAAAACGCATAGGCCTACCTATTTAGATTTTATTCTCGTGTGCACGGCCGCGTTTACTATACTATATCACTGTCATTGAAACTAAGCCGGCATGATTGACGATATCGATCGTTCCGGTGAAATATATCAAGTCGAGACGGAGAGAGAGAGAGATAGAGAGAGAGACCATAACAATATTATGTAATACCCGACGTTGGTGATAAATCACGAAGACCTTCTGAAACGGCCGTCGTAGCACGTTATTTTATCTTCTCCGGGCCGGATCATAACAATAAATACAACTACATGTAATATTATAGATACTACTGCGGGCTTATCACTTCTTTTTTTTTTTTAACGTCTAACAACCCAGTTTTACTATCAACCCCCCGGGCGACTGCTTATCAGCTATCACACGAGGCGCGTTCGCCCTGCGTTGTACTCACGTAAGACGACACGTTGGTCGGCGGTGTTGGAGGTTGCGACTGTTGTGGCGAAGGCGGCAAACCTCCCTGCGGGTGCTGCGACAAGTGGTTGAGTACCGGTGCCCCTTGGTTGTTGTGATTGCCGATCAGTCCTGTCGTTTGTTGCTGCGAGAAAACATATTTTTAAACAGTCATTATGATAATTAAAAAAAAAAAAAAAACAACATGTAAACAAAAACGACCGAGCAGCGCAGAGCGGAACAAAGCTTTCGGCGTGATGTCGCTTTGAGCAGGTGTGGCCGTCTCCCGAAATGGCGCCGGCGGCAACTGCCCGGTTATCGGATACCGGCGAGGGTGTGAGTCAGTGTAGCCCGTGTCACAATAGCCGCATACTACCGTACGTTACTTTCGGCACCCCTTTCGTGAAAAAATACACCCCACCCCCCCCGGCCTCGGGACCGGCGAGCAACCCCGAAAATGTTTATTATTTTAAACCACCCGCTTGTCCCAGACATTATTCGATCGTTAAGCGAAAACGCTCTTTCGTCAGACACACGCTTCTGTTTCTGTTCAGGAGCACAGCCAAAAGTTTATCATATACTAAATATTACATTGTTGTTGTTATAACAGCCACCCCCCCTATTTATGTGGGCAGCACGACACGTTTTTATTTGTTAAACAAAAGTGCGTGTAGACCCAAATTAGTGTCTCCGTTCGTAATATTGTATTCGAGTTTCAGGAACCCTACCCGAAAAAAAGTTTTGGTCGTTTCTTTGTTTAGAATTTAAATTTTAAATCATAAACATGAGTGTTTTTCCGTTTTTTTAGTTTTCAAGTTTATTCGACTACACTTAGATAAACGAGCAGCCCGACGTTGGAAACGAAGAAGCTTATAGATGCAATAGAAAGTAATTAATGCTTAAGTGCTCGAATTTCTATCGGAGCCGTCCTCACAGGATCACCGATTTATCGTTAATTACACATTTAATTGTTAAGTAGAAAAGAGGAGGGCTCTTCTCCCGGGGGGAGGGGGGGGTGTTGTACATATTTCCCGGCCGGTCTGTTAATCATACTGATTGCACCGACGCGGTGGTTTAACTAGATTACCGCTTTAATAATCCCCAGACAATCTTATACACAGACGTTTCGTTCTATCTTTTAAGAAAGAAACAATTAATTCTTAGACCCAACACGTGTACGGTACGTCATTGCGTTTAAAATAAAACATTCTAAAATATTATCATTGCGTTGAATTCACTCGTACAGCACCACGTGTTCGAATTTTATTGCATTTACTCAACCGATTAGAGCAACGATATTACGGCATGACATAATTATACCAAAATGGCCAACGGCTTACAGTATTCAAGTAAATCAAGCAGCCAGTTCGGTGTTTATTTGACGAAAAATTAATTTACATAAACTCGTTATTGAAACCGATAAAAAAAGTATAGCAATACATTTAAATGCATTTAAAAAACGTCGAGGTTATTTTTTTTTTAAACGTCCTTGTTTATAACGATAAGTTTCGGGAGAGGCAAATAAGTCGTTGACTTGGAACAACAATAATTATTGATATTATTTTGTGTTTATACAAAAACCGAACGAGTCGTGCTGATGACTATTAAGCGCCTCGTGAAATTATTATTTTGGATATTGACCAACATCTGTTAAAAATCTAAACAGCGTCTATTTCGAGAACCCAACCGACCTCTTACTCGAGCCATAGTAGTTTAGATAATTCAATGTAATTTATGTACTGCCCATTCTATTATTGTTGGCCGTCCAGACGAACAACAGCAGATCGTGATGAATCGGTGCTCATTGGAAAGCGCATCTCCTAAAGCCGTACAGTAGTTGGTAGTAACAAAGTCACAAAAATCAATAACTTTGTTCACACTCCCTTTTTTTTTTGGGGGGGGGGGGGTAATAACTTGTAACTTGCAACGATTTACTAATAATTTAACAAACCAACAGAGGTGCTTGGAAGTCGTCGGTTTAAAAAAAAAACGTTTTGTCAATTTGGGGCGAATTTCAACTAATAACTTGACGAATTACTTTTTTCCTGGCAGTACTGGCGGTAGGTAACTCTATGTCCCCAAAATGTTTGTATTTCTATCAAATTCCACTTGCAGTTTTACTTACCGACTGGTTATGGTTTTGCGTGTGGTTGTTCATCACCGGTACCCGGTTGTCCATCATCATGTTGGACTTCTTGACTTGACCGTGCACCTGTGTGTGTGGCGGCGGCACCGACATGGGTGGCGATGGCAGACCGGCGGGCGGCGAATAACCGTTGTAAACGCCACCGTAACTTCCCACATAACCGCCGGCGTACATGCCCGAATCCGGTTCACCACCCTGTACAATACATCGAACGGATTAAGTAAGTAATAATAACAAAAAAATAGTCGCAACGCATAAATTACACTACAACAGAGAAACAAGTTGTTGTTCTTTTAATATTCCTCCCTCGGTTTTCTTCTTGAAATTAATCCTCTTTCATTCTCCCTCTTTTCCCACCGCCGCACCACCCCGACAGACTTTTCAAACTTCTTCGCGTGCAAACGTTTTTTGGACCGAAAAGTTTTCCGCCGGTTTGTTCAACCCATTCCACCCCGTCCGCGGCAACGATCAATACAATAATAATATATCATATTATAAGAACATGATTAAACTCGGCTATTAATAACTGTGAATACGCCGTACAGGCTGCTGCCCGGGAAACTTTTCAACCGGAATTTCTATTAGGCAAAGTTATGAGTCCAGAATATATCTTTTTTTTTTCTTTCTTTGCGTTTATATACATATATATATATTGTTAAGAACAATTTATAACCAAACCCCGTCGCATGTCTGTTAGTTCTAATATAACATGAGTGCGTGTACCTTCGACACGAGGCTCGCTCTGTACGCCGCCAGTGCTTTCAAGTAGTCTTTCTTTGCCGCTTCAGTTTTCTTTTTGTACACCTGAAACCATACAGTGCAATTAATATAAATGTGTATAAACTACACACGGTGTAAAAAAAAAAAAAAATACAACATCAAACACAGGCTGGCTGTGCGAATGTATAATTTATTAATTATTTAGTTGTTAAACAGTCGGGGCACATATTTTGCCCGACTTAAACATTTATGGACGTCATCTGTAACTATAAAAGGGCGTTTGTTATGCTGGGATAAAATCATATAACCGGTCGAAAGTAATATAGCAAGGGGCGGGCACTAAATAATGTACCTACAGACTCTTTGTCGGCTCTAAAATAACACACGTGTGTGCATAATCAAATTTATAGTTTCAGCTAAACGCAATATTGTGCGGCCTTTTTTTTTTTTTTGTTGACAACAATAATCACTTTAGTCGAAGCAAACGTTATTAAGTCGCACTCACAAAGTCCTCCGGTCTACTAACACGGTGCACGGGAGGCCTTTATGAATGTGAAATCAACGTCGACGCGAGGGGTGCGCAATTGCTTAGGGAAGTCTCTAATTGAAACATTATTGATTAAAATCGCTCATAAACGCGGACACCCTTTTCACGTCCCATTCGATAAGTTCCATCTCTTTTATCTCCATTGTCGTACAGCCAAAGGAAACTTTGCATGTCCTTAATTATATATATATATATATAAATTTGTACACCGATCCCGGGAGGACCTACGTTGAATATAACCTAATTATCCGTCGCATACGCAGAGCTCCGGCCAAATTGGATTCCAAACTTTCTCCGATGATGACAGCGTTTCAAAAACATAGTTAATTCGAAACGGTAAATTTGATTTTTACACAAAGCGGTACGTCTCGTCACGCATCTAAGACTTTACCGATTTACATTTAAAGGCCCCCTTTGGCTGACGGATAGGTATCATTTTTATTATTTAAAAAAATCCACTTACTGACGGGCATAAATAAAGGTTACCGAAACGGTAAATTGCTAATAATTACTATTATTAATATAATTTTCTCGATTTCATTTGTCTCTCGGAGTACGGCCCATGCGGGATTTTAAGATTTTTCGATGGCCATAAAACAATATGATATTTTCTTATGGTCCGTTACCGCAGGAAACTAGCGGTTATTGTTTTTGTGTAACATTAAAGTTTAAACGTTTCCTAACAGGCGATAATAATATTGCTGTTCGTCGGAACTGCGTTTAATAAGCATTTAAATTAATTTTTTTATGTCCACCGCAGTAAAAATACTTTTTACTGCGGCAACAACGCTTTAAAAATGAAAAAATAATTCAAGACAGAGTGTAAAATACATGCACACGCAAAAAGGTTTAATGTATACTAAGCACCGGTGATTAATGACGCTGTTTAAATTGCAGCCGTAAACGTTAGTATGAACGTTTTATATGCGTGTAGGTAAATATAGAAATTTTATTCCCCTATGAGTAAGTTATGGATAGAGAGGATGCCAGGTTAAAGTCACAAAGCAATAATTCTGTGTGGAACGTCAGTAACAATATCGCATGTAAGTAGGTATCCGCTTTATATTGAATATGTAAAATGTTTGTTCGTTTTAGAAAGTTTTCTATTTTTTAGGAGATTTCACTTAAAAAGAAAAAAGTCAGAACACGGCTAGGAGTGGGGGAGATTTACAATCGGGTCGGAGTCAACAATGGTTTCAAAATAGTAAAACTAATTTGAAAGTGATGTTATTGCTTTTAAGGAAGGCGATATTCGTGATAAAAAAAAATATTTGTCTTGAGAGCTTAATTTTTGTACCAATAACGATAGAAAAATATTTTTAACTTTTATGCTAACATTGTGCTTTTTTTTTTTTACTAGTTAGATTAACGGTTGTCTTACCTCATAAAAGCTAAAAAAACATATTTTACGGGTGCCATAGTTTATTAGAGTACACGTTTAACGAATGCTAGAAAATATTTATGTTCATTGTTTGTGATAAGTAAATTTTGAAGCTTTTAGGGTTAGGTTAGGTCTATTTTATTATGATTTTCGATCAGAGTTCAGGCCGATAAGAGTTCGACTAGACAAAATTACTAAAGCTATAAAAACTGACATGTTTGTAACACGGTTTCATCGAGGCGGTTTACAGTCGGTAACGCCAAATGTTGATTTTTGGAAATGTTTTTTTTTTTTTTTGGCTCCGGTCGTTTGCGTTTGGTTTTCACGTTTTAACGGTTTACCACCGAACAACGTTGATGTACAAATCGGCCAACAAATACACATACTCACACTGCACCGGTCGTATAACCGTTACATAAACAACAATCCGATGTATGTTTTGTCTTAGTCGGACTGCGTCGTTAAAACACGAATATTAGCAGTTAAAAAAAAATACGAAATATTCAAAAACATTTATACATCGAACCAAAAAAAAAAAAAAAAAACCATCTATGACGGCACACTGTTCCTCCCGGAAGTACCTTAAAGATTTCTCTCCAATCCGTTTAGAACACACATTCACGGTGGTATAAGCCTAGTGTGCTATAGCGGCCACAATAAATACCTATATATATATATTATATTAATTTTTATAGATACATATATATATATATATATATATTATACGAATCATGAGAATTGGGTCAGCGCATTTGTGAAAGTACTGTATTTTACTGTTTTTAACATTTTGTTTCGTCGTTACGTTATTATATGTATAATATACTATTTATTATTACAATTCGAACGTTGTATTTAATTCACAAAGAGGTAAAAAAAAAAAAAAAAACCATTTTCGTTACACTGCGCTCTAGAATGGCGTGTACCGTTATGTGTTGCGTTGTGCAAATTTTTTTTACACTGTCCGTACGGCGTTGGATTTCGTAAAGAGTTTGGATTTTAGAAAACGATTATTCTAACGCTGTCGACTAGATCAAGGTCCGAAGACGTAACAATATAAATATACTATTACAAGCTTGGATGAAAAATAATCCAGCGTACTGTTTCTCTTACAGGAACCGGGGTTATCGAGGTGTGTGTGTACTTTGGTAAAAGGAAAAATTGAAAAATTACAAAAATCGGTAACTTTATAACTTTTGTGTTACGAATTTGCGCTTTTCAATTACTTAACAAAGTATTCTATTCTGTCAGTAACTTTTATAACTTACAAAGTCACTTTCGGGGGTAGTAGGCCTTCGACGTTTTACTGGTTCCGGTTTCAGTTGGAGTGTTAAATAAAACATATCATTAGGTTTCGGTTCACTGTTAATTGTATTTTCAACTAAAAAATGCGACTCATAAGACTATACAGAAAAAATAGTGTTTGGAGATTTTTTTTTTATTCCGTTCCAACCCATTTTTTATTACAACCGATTAAATGGCATCGTCAAGTGTAAAAGATTTACTGTAGTTGCCAAACGATTTTTGCCAAATTTGGATCCCGTCCCTCCGGTTTAGGTTCTTTTTTATTTTATTTCCTCAGCTGCCCCCATCCCCTCTTTGAGTTATCACATCCGCCATTAAACTTAACATTAGTTATAATAAGAAAACTACCAAACGGTCGAACGGGGGACGACGTGAAATATGACTTTGCTGATTTAGAAAACTTGACATTTTTTAAACAGACTTTAACTCCGATTGCTATTTACATATTATTCATTTGAAAACATTAATTCACGAACCACGGTGATTTATAATTTTTTTATTTTTCTTAATTTTGAGAGCTTTGTATTAATCGTTTGAAATTCAAATAGCCAACCCATGTGTATTTAAACTATACACAATAATCGATAAACAACCAGTTTCGGAAAATACTTAAATTTCGTGTTTATCGGTAGAATTAATCAGGATTAAAAACGAATAAAAATATATTGAAACCCATTAGTACCGCATGACATATTAATATTATCATGTTATTGATTTATTTCCACGACAACATAGTAATTAAGACAATGACGTCACATCAGTTAAGAATAAAGTATGTGGGAAACTTCCGGTCCGGGTATTCACACATACATAGCCACAGCATACATCACCAAAAACTCTCGTTTCGACGCTCATTTATGCAATATTGCAAGACGGGTGGTGTACACCGGCTAATGACGGCAAAATTTTTTCACCGTTATCCGTTATACCCAAGTATAATAATAATTTAGTTTTGTTACTGCGCTATGTGTAAAATATTTATACCACCGTAACAATGCCTACGACGACGGTGTGTTCGGTGATTAATCACGGCCCGGAGATTTCCGTTTATCGAGTCTATTTATTATTTAATAAATTGCCAATTAATAATTTATAATATAATTCGTAACACTGCTGTACTTGGCAGAAATAATAATTTCAACGCTGTGCCATTATTATTTACATGTTTTCAACGGCACTTCCCTTTTAGCCGCATACACGCGAATCCACACACACCTTCTCCGCGTGCGAATTTACAAGTGAAAAAGCTTTAGAAATTACTCTCGCCCGCCGCCCCCAGCCCATATTTTCATAACGTCAGCCCCCGACATTATTTATTCTCCAAAAAGAAAATAACCCCGTCACATCCTCGCACCCCGCCCGAGGACTCCGTCTCTTATTTTTCTTCTCCTTTTCGAGAGTATTTGGTTTTATTAATGTGTTCGAACTGACTGAGGGCACTTCTGAAAATGGATTACTATTTTTCATTCGCATAGAGATTGTGTAGCTGTGAAAAACGAAACGGAACAGTGGGGGCGCGGGGGCTATTTTTTTCTCTCTCTATAAAATGTTTTTCTTTTGTCGATATAAATAATAATAATCATAATAAAAGGGAAAGCGCGAGATGCAGCATTGACAACAAAAAAGGATTTTAATCCGTCCGTTGCGTAAACATAATATTATTATTCAACGCACTGGCTTGATTGATGTTTTCCAATCTCATTATGGACCACCTCGCCGGCGAAGAAAACTGATTTTCAATCGCGGTTTTACAACGATAATCAGCCAAAATCGCCTGGTACTCAAGTAGAGGCATATGTTTTGGAGTAGAGTACTTACATTTTTATGGTCGGCGTCCAACGAGTCCCACATGGATGCCACTATCTTGGACACTTCTCCGAAACTTGCGTTGGGGTTCTTGCCCTTGATGGCGGCCTGAGTGTCCCTGAAGAATAGAGCGTAAGCGGAAACCGGCCTAGAAAAACGAGAAAAACCATTTTAAATATCAAAAAAATATTAAAATACCAACAGCCGCGCGGTGAGATTACAATAAATTTGACGACAACAAGTTCATGAAAGTTTTTATGACTATTGTTGTATAGAGTGTATACTGTTTTAAGCAGCCTCGTGTGAGAGTAATAGTACCCAACAAAGAAAAAAATTGCTTATCTACCGTTTACACGACCGACGGAACATCTCTCGCAGTAAACTTATTACAACAACTATCTCTAAAACGTTAATTAAATTTTATGGAACATTATAAAATCGTATACACAAGAAAACCGAACAATTAAATTGTGTTTCAGACGAGTTGAATCGAGGCCGTTAAGACTGCAAATAAAACGGATCATTATAATAATAATCGTTATTTATTGATGGCTAAAAATGAATCAATTTATATTCAACACAAACCACGATAATTAATCTAGATCGGCCGGAATAATATATTTCTTATAATTATTAGGGTACACAGGTTTTATGGACGGAAACTCCGGAAGTTGAAGTACTAAAAACTATCGATTCGCATGTATTTGTACCATAAAAATAACCGTAATATACACTTAAAGTATTTTGCTGTAATTTATTTTGTTTGTACACAATTACTTAGTGTATTAGAGTTTACTTTTATTATTCTCCGTTTTATTTCATTAACTCAATAATAATAATGATAATAATAATAATAAAAAAACTCAGTATTTTATGGATTGTGTATAAGTTTTATGTTATTATTATTATATTTTCCTTTGGGGGAAAAACATTTATTTTATAATGCCAGTACTAATTTCCTTTCGGAAGTACATACGCTATTAAAATTATATTAGCCTAGTATATTACATGTACACATAGATATATTATTTTAAACCCTATATTATAATCTTTATATAATAGCTAAATAAGCATTAGTGTTTTTTTTTTTTTTTTTTTATGAAAAAATATGTATTTAGATTACCTCTTCGACGATAAAATAATTACTATAATTACGTTATGACGTACAATATAATATAATATATCTTTGATATGTAAAAACGTATAAAATTTGTCTGGTCAAATAAAATTGTTTATCTTTCTCGCGCGAAATCTTCGATGTGTCATTAAAAGTAATTACACAAGAGTACTCAAAACGTCGGTGAAATTAATTAAATTTATAATTATACACACACGTGCGTTGTCTACGATTATAATAATTATTTCCCGCGGCTTGTTTACACCAAAACACCCTTGGCTTAGAGATATTGTAACGTCTTATCGGCTGTGCTTCCTTGTTGGTTTTTAGTTTTTTTTTAACACCGATTCCCTAACGCTGTTGTATACGGTGTACACCACGTGCAGTGGCATCGAAATTAGTTACCAAAGCGATTCGTTTTTATAATCCGTGGGCGGGTCTCGGATAAAGCGATGCGGTCGACCGAGATAAACAAAAAAAAAAAAACAAAAACCACTGAAGGTATATTATTTACACCGTCACCTGAGTAAATGTAAATAGGAAAATATTTGTTTTCCGTTTAGTTCGTCGACCGTCCCTTTGTATGTGTATTTCGCCTGGTCCAACCTCTGTGGCTCTGTGACAAACGTTATTGGCCAAAATCACTAAAAAAAAAAAAAAAACCCTCCCCCGCCTCGTCACACGCTTTCGGATGAGCAAAAACATGGAATTCTTCGACCTCTTTCACCCGATTTCATATTCGGCCGAGGTAAAGACAGAGTTTTTTTTTTTTTTTTTCATTTAAAAGTTTAAATGTCGAACAACTACACACTCGAGCGAACTTTGGTAATAACCCGACCTCACGAGGATCAATACTCCGGCGGAACATAAAGTATAATAAACTTTTGCCGTGGATAACGAACGAGAATACGTCTACATGTACATGTATATATATATACATGTCGCGACGGCCGGGGTGGTGGTAGGGGCGGAAGACGGGGCGAGCGAAACACGGGGTCGGCCTAAAGTTTTTTGACAAAAATTACCGCATTCCACGAATAAAATGCACATAAAGCCAACAAGGTGGAAGTATTCGCGTACACGCTAATAGTGTCGTTCGCAAAGTTCCCCGGAATATTTTATCATCGTTTTATCAGCTGTTTCCACTTCAGGAGCAATTACGCGCATCTTGATGATTTTCCACCGAACTGCCGACGAATTTCGAAAAAACTCACTGGATAAAGATCTTGTTACAAATTTTATTATCATGTCGGACGCGCACACCACTACCGCGTTTAACGCTATTATTCACAACGCTATCCGGAATTTCGAGAAAATTAAACAAGTTTTAAGTTTTATGGGGCTTCAGCTTTGGAGCGTTCGCTAATTAAACGCGATAAAAATGTAAAATTAAATTATTAAAAGAATCGCCAACTGTTCTGTTGTAGTTAATGGGACACGGGCAATTTCGCATTTACACGCATCCTCTTGGTTTGTCGGAAATCTAACTTGAGATGGTTTTTTTTTTAATTTAAAAAATACTCGTGAGATTTTCATTTTCATGTTATAAGTGTTGTTTTTTTGATGATTAGGCTTACGATATTCAGTCCCGAGTTTAACAAATCTAAGGACTCGATAGAGGATGATTTATTTTTTTTTTTACTGTCAGTCGCCTGCCGAAAGAAAAGAAAACACCAGTACTACTTGGCTGGGCGTCTGGGCCAGAATTTTTAGTTTTAAACTGAAATTGTTAGATTAATTACTATACATTATGGTTAATTCAGTTAACGGAAAACTTGACTGGTCGATAACTAGTTCTCACTTGGACGAGAGAAGGAGAAGAAGTGGAGTGAAGAGTTCTTAAACTGGTCATTAACCAGTCATTTTTTTCAGTAAATCACTGTCGGTTATTTTTTTTAATAAAATTTAAACGACTCGTATAATCGGTTTTCCCTGAGAAATGTATTAATAATAACCTTACAACTTTGAGTTATTTATTACCTATAATTATATTATACATGTTATGCGTGACACTCGGTATACTGGACATCATTTGTTTACTCTTTCGACAATTTCCTTGGTTGGGCAGCAATAATTAAAATGTTGAGTTCTCGATGAGTTGCATAAATACAATAATTTGTTATATTGTGCTATTGATAATACAGACAGTAGATCATCTCTAAAATGTATTATTATATTATACAAATAACAGGAGTCGTTCGTTTGTGTTGTTAATTTAATAATTACTTTAGATCATACAGCTCATTATAACGTCCTTGTGATTAAAACGACGTACAAAAGGTCAGATATTATTATACAACAACGCAGTTTTCGATAGTATATTTTAATCACATCCGTTAAATACATAGATTCGATTGATAAAACGAGATTAGTCACCGTATCGTCATTGTTAACATATTGCATAATGATAGCGTTGTAAAACACATTAATTTAAATACAATACGAGCCAGTTAAATGAATACACTAGACGGACATTTTTTTTTTTTTATCAAACAAAATAAAGTAATATTAATATTCTTCGATAATTAAATTCCAAAAAAACCGTTTGCGTGACTTCAGAGAATTCCTCGAATTACCACCAACGATAAAGTTTTTCAATTATTAGACTCGGAATATTATTATGACGATTATTAACATAACGTTCATTTCATACGCCGAGTATTTTGATTAGTTTTTGTTCTTTTTTAGTGAACGATTATTCCAGCAAAAATTCGTTCGTTTTCGACCGGTGGTGATTTATTTCGAGGAAATATATATATATATATATATACATAATTTTTTTTATATTATTTAAATCCTAAGTATTCGATTACATTTTGCAATTATGTATATATACTGGCGCAATTTTCTCGAATAACACCCAGACACTCGAGTGTATTTTTTGCCAATAAAACGCATTCGTTGTGTCAGATAATTTTCTAGTACAACACTGCCGCAGTAATATTGATGATAATTTCGAAAACTATAAAATGTTTAGGTACTAGAATTGAATATTTTTCATCCAGCACTTACTCGCGGTAGTTTAGTGAAATTAAAGGAGGTACAATCTTTGAGCAGCCTGTTAAAAACTATAAACAATCCTTTGTTTAACCGAAGAAACCGGTGCCCGAGACTGATGAAAACATAATTATTATTTCATTGTGTTCATAATGTGTGTATACCCGGTGGGTCTAGACAATGGGGATGCGTTTTATTTGCATTTAATTATGTATATTGTCGAGCAAAGATAAAAGTTAAATACAAAAAAAAACAATACAAACCGAAGGGTTGTAACGTCATTACCGATCGATTGAAAACACTCAACCGCACACAGCAGACAAAGGCATTGCTTTTCCTATACCAAAACTCTGAATAACAATTCTGTCTAACAATAAAATTTGCATTTAATAATATTGCGTACAAACTGCAAACGGTAACATTTCATTATTGGAATTAAACGAGCACCGATTCCGCAAACCTCCAGTCCTCGGTTTGATATTTGAGTTTGCCGAGCCAATACTGTTGTATTCCGGATTAAATACACATAATCTACATTAAGTCTTATAGTTAAGCCAATGCATCTGATAAAATAAAAATGAACGACGTGCTAAGTCGAAAACTTACACAGACTGACCACATTGTTTACGCACTAAACTAGCAGACTGACAACTAAAAGCAGATTTTCTCATAATATGGGCCTATTATAAATCTCATTGAACCATTGTCCATTATAGGTTAGGTCAAAAAGATAAAAAGCATGGCGCCAAAAAGAGGGTATGATTTCTAACTTAATTTCATTATTATGTATTAAAATATTAGATGAAAGGTGCACACGAAATTAAGATTATTACACAATCTGTCTATTCTGCCTTTTTCGTGTCGAAAATATTGCCTTTCCTCACTTGTTTTATTTCTTTTTCTTTTTTACTACCTTTTTGGAAAGTATCAGACGAAATAGACCAAGAGGAGAACATATGAACGAAACTAAATTGTAAGTAAATCGCAAGCAAAGTATATTGTGACCTAACAGGCTTCGTCCTAGTTGCACGTTTAATTAAAATAATTCCTATATAAACTGGCAACGACATAAAACAGTCATAACGTTTTCGAGGAATATTAATAATATTGCGCGACGTTGTTATCGTCCGATAGACTTATTGCCTCAAAAAAAAAAATTAAACACATATTGACGTTGGCGATATTGTTTGCATTGTCATATTATTATTATTATACAAAAAAAATATCACCAATGTTTTATAATTCGACACAAGAGTGGACTTGACTTTTATTAGCCTTGACGCTGAAATGAATTGTCTATCCGCGGGTTCGCAAAAAGCAGGTGCAAGGGCGGCTCTGGGAAATAAACGATTCCAGTGTGTGCATATACAACAGGCGTTTTTGAATTTTCTACAACACAGCATGTGCATGAGTATTGTCCTTTTTTTTTTTTTTTTTTTTTGAGAAAGAAATAAAATACAGAATAGAGCAAGATGTTCTTGAAACGACGACGCGGCTAACAAAGGCGCAAACGGCACATAAATTATGTTTAATGAAAGCGCAACAAAAGACACAAAATGTTTTAAATATTTCGTTTGGAGCTGGTAATCTAAAGGCTAACAAAGGCACAAGTACTTAACGTGTTGGCGTTGTATAATCATGTATTAGCCCGTTATTGTTAGAAACGCATATTTTGGGACTTTGAACTGTCAACGCGACAGTATTATTTAAAAAAAAAAAATATTTAAAAACGTTTGGATGTATCTGAATGTCTATGTATAGTTATGTTATCGTGGAGCCTTAGACTTTACTGAAATAATATGGAATATTTGAAACTTCTCTATATCTTTTATCATGCCCGTAACAAATAACCGTTTAATTGGTACCGTGGTCAATAATTAATATTCAAAACCGTCGTACCTACTAAAAAGTTACCGTTTAATAAATAATAGATTTCAAAAAAAAAAAAATCAAATTGCCAGCAATATAGTTTTTATCGTTCTGTGAATACCAACAAAGATAACCGAGGGAAATTAGGTCGATATAAAACTAAGTATAGTACAGTACTATGTTGTTCACAGTGTGAACATTTTTTTTTAAAAACAGATTGGGTTGCACGGTGTCGATAGTAAACAGAACAGCCAAATACTTGAATGCCAATGAAACGTTATGCGCGGACAACAACCGCATCAATGTTTGAACACTTGAGTCTACCATACGGCTTCAGATGTTTATAACACAGTGAACGCTTTATACTAATATAATGTTGTGTATTTCTTACTTTTGAGGTTCGTTTGGATCCCGTTTCTTTTTCTTTTTGGTGGGTTTCGGTTTCTTCTGTTGCATCTTCATAATCCCGCATCCGTCCAGTGGCTCCGGAGATAACCTTTCCCTCTTGATTGCAAGCTAAAACATACAGATTTTGCAAATGATAATAATAATGTATTGAAATCTAAAAAAAAAAAATAATAATAATAATGAAAACACCTCGGGGACAATAATGTTATAATATTTACATAATATAGTAATATTATGATTAATGTGGTTTGTGAATATGTTTAATAAATAATTAGTAAAGCGTCATAAAAAAAAAATAAATATGATACGTTTTTTGTTCAACACTTTCTTGCCTACAGCCAATGTAAATAGTACACAACTATTCAATACATATTAGTTAAGAAACACTGTATAATACATCTGGTCTATGAAATATGCATGAGCAAGCCACACGATAATAACACGTTTTCAACCCAAAATAACTGTATAAAATATAGAAGCAGAAGTATGTATGTACAAAGTAGGCGTATATATACTTATGTAATATAAATAGTAGTTTTTTACAGGCAATATAAAACCCACCCTTTACATAAAATTGCATACATTATTCAAACGGAATTGCCTAGAATTTTACATGGAAACACCTTCCTATTTTTATTTCACTTTACATGACGTTATTGCATTACTTTGAACGCTCAAAAACATAAACAGAAAATAGAACTTGCAAACGGCGACGACAAAAACGTACATACTACAATATATTATAACGACGATAATAACAAAGTGATGTTAAATTTACGGTTGCATCTACCGGAATTAAAATGAAATAAATATATTGATCAAAGTCGAATACATAACAGATCAAATTTTGCTGGGTTATAAATTTACAAGGTACACTATTTAAAAAAAAAAATAATAATAAAACAGTTAGTCAACGTCAGGACTGACAGGGAACATTCCTAATACAAAGAAAAGACTATTGTTTATTGTTCAATCGACTTCAGTGGACTAAGATTGACAACATTTTTTTTTCTTTCATCACCTGCTGTTTCCAAGAATTTCAGCTGTCAATAGCTCCAAATAAGGTCGTATACGTTGAACAGAAATTTAATATTACGGGTAGAAATGGCTTCTGTAGTCGTGTGACATTTTACACGGTTAATTATAATTATTAACAAAACGCAAAGAGTAAAATATTATCGCGTGTAATTGCGCAGTAGGTACTTAACTCATTGCATATTGAGACACTGATGTACAAGTTTTTTAAATAATTTTTTGTGATTGTACCTACAAAAACTAATTTTCTACTTCATTGCTCAACCCAATGGGGTTTATGTACTCAGGTCTTGTACAATTACACTGGTATTTACTCTTTAATCGTTATTCGTTGTATTTTATTACTGTTCACAAAACACTCACCATAGTTTGATGTGGCGTGCTGTCGTCACTGTCGTCACTGGTGGTGTTGATACCGTCCGGAGTGGGAGTGGGGTTGGAATGTCGGTGCATGTCCAACGAAGGGGTTAACGGACTGGTAGCTGGTGGTCCCATGTTGGTGTAGTGCAGGTGTGTGGGTTGTACCATGCCGGGATGTTGCTGTTGATGATGGTGCTGTTGTTGCTGTTGCTGCTGCTGTGCTGCTGCTGCTGCTGCTGCTGCTGCTGCTGTTGTTGTTGCTGTTGTTGCTGTTGTTGTTGCTGCTGCTGCTGCTGCTGCTGTTGTTGTTGCTGGTTCGGAGCTTGATGGTGTCGGTGGTACATCATGCCGTTCTGCGACCCGTTTGTACCGTTAGAGTTGTTCAGAGGCGTGTAACTCGGCTGCGAGTAACCGGAACTGAACATAAGTAACCCAACATGAGTACCCCATACAAGTATATAATCCAACATAAGTAACCTATTGTCTACATAGATACAAATATATGAGGTTATCAATGTTTAAATCAAAAGTGCTACCAAACAAAAAAACCTCTGCTTGAATTGTCTAGAAAAAGTAAAATAATATGGCTCTGAGACGTAGTTTTAAATATTAAGAAGAAAGTGCTTTGACGAATTTAATACTGACAAATTTATAAAACGCACAAGTTAGTAGTAGATTTTAAAGATAGGGTCTAGAAGGCAGCGAGGACAGAGGTCTGTAAGAAACGTAGCAAAACCCTTAAAAAGTTCAAAAAAGTTTAGACAGAAAAGTTTTCTTTCTCGACGAAATCGAGACACAATGTCCGCGGGGTGTTTAATAATTTTGTATGTGCTTCTTCCGGATTCGTCTCGTTACGGCGCATTGTGTCGACAAACAATACCGTACAAATTAAATGTTCTACTTGGGGTATAAACAAATTACGTGTTCGGTCGTTTGCGCCGTTGCTGAAAATTTGGGCTACGAATAACTTATGCGAAATGAATTAGGAATGCTAAATAAGCGTTGCGCCCGATTCTTGTCGTTACAATGTGGACACACCGTTCGGCGCGGTCGGAAACACGAATTTCCGGGTAAAACTTCAATCCGATTAGCCAGGAAAAGGATTATACACGCGCGTTAAGCTCTAACTGATAAAATTGACCCGAAGATTCGACAAATGAGCTACGGCGAATTTCCGGGCAATTTTCAACGGGGGAAATGTTTGTGGATTCGGTCCAATACAATATATATATATATATATATGAAAATCCGGACGAGAAAGTTTCTCTACGCCGTGTATATTAGAACCGTACCAGTATTACTATAGGTCACTGTGACAGCCAGGACAGGCATTTAATTTCCAGCCGCACTTTTTTTTTTTGGCACTCGCGCCAAACGAATTATTAGCCGTTATTGATGACTACCGAGCGTAAAACCGCGTACAGATACATTAGATATAATATAATAATATTCTACCTGACGTTAAGTCCGAGCCCGTGTTCGTGACCGGTCAAGTAGAGTGGCTGTTGATAAGCCGATTGGTGTGAATGGTGCGTGTTGTGCGAGTTCATCCCCTGCATTCCCGCGGCGTCCTGGGCGTGATGGTGATTCATCATCTGCTACAAAAAAAAAAAACAACAACTAGATAAATATCATATATTGTACATTTATACGACACAGAGATTACTGTACGCCGTTGCACAGTGCGGTACACCTAACTGTACAAGTGTCCTTAACAAAAAAAACATAACATTTTTCTTTAACAGTAAATTGCTATGAAAAAGCACGTGTTTGAGACGTTTGAACGATTGATTCGCCGGTTTTGAAATCGTAGAAAGTCCACACGAGACATCTGTCGCTTCGTTTTAATGTCGTTTCCAAGCAGATTTACTATTCGGTCTTACAGATTAGCTGGTGCATGTTTTGGACTAACACATGTGCGTGTATGCCAAATATAAAGAAGAAATGGAGAATAAGATCGTACCACTTGCTTGAACAATATATTTTTCTATTGCACATTTCTGACAAATGATTTTCTATCACTTGAAGAATACCTCACAAGTTGAACCCAAGATGATTATAGTTTTCAAAAACCTCACCTGAGTGTGCTGATAAGCCAACGACGGCTGTGGTTGCGTGTGCGAAGTGATTATTGAATCAGCTGAGCTGTTGGACGGGCTAGATACGTTGTTGCAGCTCGAAGAGGTGTTGGAGTTGTTTCCTTGATTGGCCATCGACGGTATATCAAAGCCTTCGTCGCCAAAGCTGGGCGCATGAAAAGTCTACAACACAAACGTTAGCAACTGTTAAAAAAAAAAAGCAAAATCTCGATATTTTATTAATACATATAATAATGTTATTGTTAGTATTGACCCCGGTGAAAGGAACGAATAGTACATGTGACTTGGAATAAGTTTCTTTCTGTTTAAACATTTAAATCAGCTGTAGTTTCGATTCAACGGTGACGTGACCGATGTAAGAGAGAAATGTATTACATTGCTTATACAATTATGGCGTAGGGTATTTTTTCGTAGAAAGACACTCGAGAGAATGATGTAGGGGAAAAGTATAATTAAGAAAGTTTAAGCCGATTCCCGGTAAGTTTAATGGAAATACAGTGTATTCTTTGAACAACACAAACACAAAGTTATAATAACGAAAAAGGGGAAACGTCCTCGTTGCCGACAAAACAATATCGCGATACTATTATATCATGGTATTATTTTATATTGTACACGAAATGACATGCACAATACGTATTGGACTGAAGTTGTTCACATGCACTATAGGACACCGACCGTCTGCTTAATAAACGTTTTATGAGTGCACAGAAACATTTTCTTAATTAAAACCGATCGTAACCGCTGAGCCAATAACAATTTATTTCAACCTTCTATTTGTAATTAGCGCTCCGGGGCAATATAAATTCCTATTCATGATGGCCTTTTGTTTTAAATACCTATTTGCTCTTTCTCTTTTCTCTATTTGTTTTACTGCTGTACTACCGCTGCTGCTTGTATTACTACCACTGTACTTATGCTCCCTCCGCCGTTCGTTTTTAACGCACCCAACGAAACACGCTTAATTCTGTGTTGGAAATGATTTACTGTCGCGTTGTAATCATTTCTAGCACGGTTTCAATTGTTATTCCCTTTTGTTCAGACTTTTAACAAAATGTCAAAACGTTCGATTTTATTAAGATTAGACGACTTCAGGAACAAAACGATCAGCATTAAAGATGATTTTTAAATAAAAACAGTTTTTTTTTTTTTCGATATATTATTATTATAAAAAAAAATGATTATGCCCGCTGAACATTAGACGGACGATATTTCTTTTTAAGTTGTCAGCATTGTGAAATCAAATGTCATTAATCATTTTATTTTGACACGAACTCGAATCAATTGCTATTTAATCAACAAGACTGTGTAATAGCCTTAGTTGCGGTCGTTGCGCGTTTTATAGTTAAGGCAAGTCCGTAGATACAAATATTTATAGTATTATACTACCGTTGTTATTGTACCCATGGAAGTATTGAAATACAAATCGATGCATACAAACGTTTTTGGTTACCTTCGTTGTTTATAATAATTATGATGATGAATACTCGGGGTAGTAATAGGACACGGCTTTTTAAACGGCTTAGCTTACAAAATCAAGTTATCAATATGGAATAGACTAGTCCTCAAACGGGTATCTCACGTGTACAAATTCAGTGGTATCTTTACCATTATACATTCTAAATTTTGTCTTTTAGTTGGCTAAAATAATATTTATCACAAATTGATGGTAATTTACCATATAATCCTCTAACAATACGTTACACCTGTACATAGCGTGGGATCACACAAAATTGAGTATTACCTCATCAGTTAACCACCCGGATTCACGGAAAACTGCCAAGATACTATTTAATTAGGGGTTCCTAAAATTGTACACCGTCTTTGGAACCCCTGTCCCAAATCTAGGCCATTGATACGCTTGTTGTGTACACCACTCGGTTTTTGAAATTGCCACTCTTTGAAACTGTATAAAATCATTCACCTTTGCACGCGGCGTTTATACGACAGTCGACTTTGGGACAAGGACGGTAATCTTCACGGACAATATGTATATTGTTATGAATGTCAAAACCGATGGAAGAAATTGACGGGAAGCTCTACTTGGGGGTCGCCGTCCCGCCGTGAGAGTTTGGTAATTCGCGGAAAAATATACCTACAGTAATCAAACGATCTACAGGTGCTCGAACACAATCATTATTATAACAGAGCACACCTATAAAGGCCGGCTAATGCCATTGGACGGCGACAACGATACTACTACTACTACTACTGCTAGAAAATATAATAATTACTACTATCAATGTATAATAATATTACATAAGAATAACGAACAATCCGGAGAATCGGCTATCCTCCTAGTTCATTGGCCACGGCCAAACATTCATTAACCGCACACGTTGGCTGTATTATTACAGATATAAAATAATTTGTTTTTTCCACCCATAAACGGCCCATACGTCGGAGAGGAGACAAGATCGCGTGCCCAAGTGCTGTGCCGTGTGCTGTCATGTTGCTCGTAATCGTTTAATATCTGTATCGTTCACACGATCCACCAAGACACAAAGCACATCTCAGAACAATTTGAACAAAATTACAACCGCATTACTTGTCAAACACCAGACGTTTTCGTTTTTTTTTTTTCAATGTGTACTACTAAGCAAGAGGCCCTTGTTTTTCGGGTGAAATTTTGAACGCCAGTTTCCGAGATACAACTAGTTTTTATTGAACCCTTCAAACCCCTAACAGAATAGTGCAGTCTAATATTTTTATAATTATCATAATCAAGATAGTTTAGCATCTTTTTAAACATCACATTTTGTTTTTTTAATCAACTCAGTATCGTGATACGCAAAACGTATCGGCTGTGAGGTACTTCAGAAGCGATTAAATCGCACACTTCCAGTGGTGTAAAAGGGTTTCCTCTTTCTCACTTGAAATTTTGTTTATACCAACATAAATTATCTACAGATAAAACGAGTAACAACACGGCTGATAGTACATCAGAAAATTCCGCAATAATGTTCATCAACAAAATATCTGTTCACTTTTAGGATATAATATGAAAATAAAAATGTTTAAGTTGGTCACAAAGTAGATTTCCCAAAAAAACATAAGTGTAGTAGGTACATTGAAATCAGAAAAAAATAGACAAATAATAAAAATGTGTTTTTTAAATTACTTATCTTTCGAATGCTATCGTAACACATCAACACACTCAACTGTTCATATCGAAAAAAACATCCGTTTTTTGTCAACAACTTACACAAGTTCTAAATACACTTATATAATAACACTATAGATAATAATTTTTAGCTTTACAAAATACTTTGAGATTATCGGCTTGTTTTTTTAGCTTTGTCAAACAGAATATCAGTTTCTATTTAACTTTGAGAGAAATCATGCAAGGAAGAAATCGGTTAATTGTTAATATACATTCGCTCTCTATTATTTATAAATCTATATTTAAATGGAAAAAACCCAGTCCAAAAGATATATAGTGTAACTAATGTGATTTAAATATGACCAGACAAAGAAAAAGAAGAAGGTAGTAAATGATCAATGAATAAAAAAAAAACCGGTTTAATGATTTATTTTCAAAACTGGTTCGTTAAAACATACATAATGGTAATACATCATTGTGATAACAAATCAGATGGTGGCGATTAAAATTGAATAATAATTAGATGAAATAAATGCTACAAGCCGTTTCGGTTGACATGATTTTATCGGTCGGCGAGGCGAATTCGACAGGAATGTGGTAAAAAAACAAGTCAATCGTTCAAATACTGTTACGGCGGTAATATATATATATATATATATAACATATAAGTTAAGTTGTCACACTTTTGTTAACCATAGCAGACTTTACCGTTTTTAGACTTCAAAGACACACGATCGTGTGAAATTTATCGAAATACCTCGAGAAAAAGTAATATAGGTACTGAAATTAAAAAAAGATATTATCCAAGTAAGGAATTTTTATCTTGTCGGCTCGCGTACACTATGTGTGTGTGTGTGTGTTTTACTTTTCAATTTACTGCAGTTGCCCCAACTCATTGGCGTTTAGAGACGAGATAACGCTTCGCAGGATTAATGTTTCCACCGAGATAAACGAGTTGTTTGTTCTTCGCAATTGAATAAATAAAATCATATTTATCTTGCGCGGCCAGGAGGATGTATGGGAAATGGAAACCACCACAGTATCGTGTACTATCTCAATGGGCATGTTTAAAGTATTTTCTTGCTATTGCATTTTAAATAACCAAGAAACGTAGTAATAATAAAAAATCAAAAAATCAAATAATAATAAACGCGTAGAAGAAAGGAAAAAAAAAAATGAATTACATTCCACGGCCAGATGTTGTGCGTCTGCTGCCACTTGAACACTTGTGTTCTAATTACGGCCCGAAGCAGAATATTATTTTGAAAAACATAAAATATTCCAAATCGTCCGAATTCTCTATTCGCTTGCATCGCACTCAGCCGGTAAAAAAAACCATAAGAATCGTATACAAACACAAGATCCAAACCACGCGAGCCAACCGATAATAATAATGACTAATTTTCCGCCATTATAAATAATATTTACCACTTACAATATTGGTAACCGGTCAGCGGATTTATAGCGCATATCTTCTTGTTCGTAAAAGATACAAATCGCAAAAGATGGGTTGATAAATTTATGAGAAGACAGAATCAGCATACAATGGTCTCATATTATTGTTGAATAATTCAAAGACTTTTTCCCGGTTCGCCCGCCTCTTTCCACACATTCTCCAGACGCAGCAACCGTGGCGGCAACACATTTTCCCCTCTTTTCCTCGGCCGTTTTATTAGGCATTCCATTAAAATTTATGACTTTACTTCCAAGTTTAAAGTACACGCATACAGGCACACTTCACCTCCTACCTGACCGGAAAGATTTTTTTTCACTCCGAAATAATCAACAAGTTTTAGGCCATACATACATGTGTAATTTGAAATTTAGGAAAGTATCGAGTGACTACAGCGTTACAGGACGGTTGTACAAAACATTACTATCCGCACAGCAATTAATCATAAACAATAATAGTCTAAATATTTTTACATCATATTTTGGCAGCAAATATTTATATTACAAATGTCTCAATAACACTTTTTTCTAAATGTCATCGAAACGCTTAGAAAATTATTTATTAATTGCTGTTTGGAGTGTATTAATACATTAATTATATTGTGTTATAGTTTTGTTTAATAAAATTTAAACATGATAGTTAATATAAAACAACTCACGTGTTCGCCCATGCTCATGTAATGATTGTTGTTGTTGTTATGCATATTGTGAGCCACCGAAAGTGATAAGTCCAGGTTGTCGCTTCTCTAAAAAAATAAAATTGAACAATATATTATTACTATGTGTGTACCCATATATATATATTAATAGATGTGTGTTAAATACAATGCAGCGGGCTCAGGAGTGTACATTTTAATGAGTAGAATATATTTTAAAGACATAATCGCTATAAGTCAACACAAGGATAACACTGTCACTTGTTAAAACAAAACCAAAATAACAATTCAACGATGCTTTACATGTTAAGTATACAAATTGCGTTATCGTCTAGTGGTGTACAATAGCCCAATGTGTGTTTCATTTTAACTTACATCGTAACGAGGTCTTCGATAAAAGTGTTCGTATAAAAATATTATTTTTTAAATACTTGACGCGTAATACTGGTGGGAAATAAATAGATATATTTTAATTAAATATAACACTTCTATTTTAAACTAAGACATTTATAACTTTATTAACATATAATCTTTGTAATCTATTAAAATAGAAATTGATTAGGTATTATGGCTTAAACCTGATGAATGTATCGGCTTGAAGTGTAGTGGTTGAATGTAATTTTTTTTAAACATAAGTGAACTTTATACAAGAAGAAACATTATAAGGAAATTATCATGAAGATAGATGTGTTTATAAGGGGTCTTTTGATTTGGAGCTCAATCATCGTTAATGTATATTTTGATTCTAGCTACAACTAATGGTTTCAATTGAAGTAATTCGATTAGCGAAATTCAATTACGATTATTTTTGATGCTAGTCGAGTAGGAACTTGGAACGTATGAGAGTATACAATACTCATTTTTAAACGCTAAGTATACGATCACAAGATGTAGTGTTATTTAAATCGTCCAAAACGGATTACCCAGAGTGGTTTAATAGACGACTTTTTAGTACAACACTTTTAAACCCATTATCCAGTGTCTGTTACGCTTTACTTAAGATTTAGAAGATAATTACCGAATTATTCGTGTTATTATAATAATATCTAGGTTTTTTCATCTTGAAGATTACAAATTTGTGTTGTCGACAAAACCTTAACCTCAAAGCTAATTGTGCGTTAGTTCGTTATATCAACATTTCCTATTCTGTACCGGTCGTACAACAGCTATACTTATTAGTTATTACTACCACTCTTCCACGTTGCTGTCCAATTCAAAAATAATTACAGTACACCGACGACCATATTAATCGGCTATATTTTACGTGCTTTTCTTCTAAATAATTATTAAGTTTGACCGGTGCGTCGCTGCGCCTCGGGTGTTGTCCAACGAAATGTAGGTACAAACTATAATGTATACTGCCTTATATAATAATTACTGTTGTTACGTTATCGGGTATGTCTCCTTCGAAGAGTGCCTATCAAAGGGAAATTAAAATACATAAAAAACAAAATATAGTCGTTATAATCGAGACCACCCATATTTATATATATATATATATATATATATATGTATAGGTGAATATTTTATAACATATCGAACCGTGGAGTTTCCTTACACCAAAACTAAGGACTGATAGAGAACCTCAGCGTTGAAGAGAAACGGCAAATACCGAACAAAAGCAAACATGAAAACTAGTTTTCCACATCAAGCAAACGTCAAATAAGCTCTGCGGGTTGTAAATACCGCCATTTATATATACCTATATATATTTATTATTTTTCTTTTTATTTACAATTGTCTCGTTTATTACCCGACCTCATTGTCTGGGGTCTACCGCCTCCTCCGCCTCAGCCGTCGTCTTCAATTTATTTATTTTATGCCGAACGCAACAATAAAGAACCTACTCCTCTCGCCACCCTTAAAAAAAAAAAAATATCTAAAAGAAAAAAAAAGCACTTCTCTACCCCAGACATATTATTCTTGTTCGAAAAACACAAGGTTACCGGAGAATTTAATATCAAACGCTGGTAATAATTGATGGCGTTCGTTCCGGCCGTTTGTTATCCGCGTGTCGTCTCCCCCATGTAAATATTGCACACCGGATCATATCGCATGTACCTAACAATAAACGGTATTATAGCCATCGCTTAGACAAGTTAAATGCGCACTGAGTTCACTTTATACTGCCCATCGGTGTTTAATCCAAGAGTATCCGACGAACTTTGGCTGTCAGCACACTCAAAGCTAGTAACATTAAGTATTACCGTGTAGACAGGCGCCGTCAACGTGAACGATTTGTTAATTAATTTCTTATAAAAATGTGTTGTCCGAATAAAATATGAAATATTTAACCTATTTCCATGTTGTAACTAGACTTATGAAAAATAGTGATTTTTAGTCAAATGTATTCGATAATAATTAACGCATTATGATAATATCAGTATGACATTCGCTGTAATTTATTCGGTTTAAATAAAATGTGTACTTGTAAACGTTTTTTTTTTTTTTTTTGTATTTCCCACCTTGCTTTTAGGTAAAGTATAGCAAGTCGATAATAATAATAATGAAAAAAGAGAAAAACCGAACAAGTATTTCCTGGCGAGAACAAAAATATTGTCACCCTCGCCTTAATGTAAACACGAAGAGAGTATTACGGTCATAAAAAACTTACGTTTATGTGCAAAGGAGGAGAGAGATTATTATTATAATTTTTTTTTTTTTTTTAATGAAAATGCAAAACACGTTTTTGTTTCGTTTAGTTTAGCTTAGTTTTTTTTTTTTTTTTTATTAGGTAATAAAGTGTGTACAGCGAGTTTTTCACAAGTATACAACCTATTGTTTGCTATCATTAAAACGGACGATGCGCGCATCGAGAACTGGTTAAACGATCCACACGTTTAATTGCCTACATGTTTACTCAGTGTTATTTTAATGGCGTTTTTTGTTGTATTAAAACACATGACCTGGGCACAATCAACGGCCAAGATAAACAATATTAATACTATTTATGCCACTAGTACTACTATAGCTCGGTACCAAGTGTATTACCGCAATACTATTGCAATTATTATGACATTGTTGAGTATGCTGGTTAAACCAATGATCAATAACACAATCACATTAATCGACGATGATAATATTATCAACCCATGTGGATCCAAAACAAAAAGAATTGCCATTCTTTAAATCACATGTATGTGATCTAACGTGGCCATACTGTGAAAAGTAGTCTTAACCGCATTCAAATAATTTGGTTTCTCTGTAAAATGTCGGTAAAGAGCAAATTTTGATAAAAAAAAAAAAGAATGTGCACTTGAGCTCTGAAAATATTACATGGCTTATTTTTGGAGGACTACATACAACAACACCTGAGCCCTTCGCCCAATTTTGCCTATGTAAAATTCACTAATGCTATTACACATAATATTTTGTGTCAGCTGTTTTCCAAGTTTAATGTTTTGTATTATTTATTATACTGTATCCCATGTGGTTTCCAGAGTAATTGGACAACGATAACGATTACGGTAATTTGTCTTCCTTCGTTTGACGGCCACCGTGTATATAATAATCATTATGATGTGATATTTATTTTCCGTCTCCTTCTACCCGAGTCATATTTTGTCCCTTGTCCGAGAATCTATATTAAATTGTTATTATTAAGAAAACCCGTCCGAATAAATGGGTTAATATTATGTCGGTTTGTTGGATTTTTAAATGTTCATCTTCTCTCCTGTACGATTTATCGCCGTTGGCTCGGACGCAAAAAAGACATTTGCGCAAAATCACTGGCTCGTGCCAAGTTATGCATCGCACATACATTTACAGAGGTTTTATATTATATGCGCATGTTTTACCGCAATAAGTGCCAATCAGATATCGCACGTTTTAATTTAATTTTTGTCGTCGCCGTTTTTCGCCTCTCTCCACGGCCCATCATAAAAAAAAAAGGTGGAAAATCCGCACAGAGAGTGAAAACCAGCAGAGCAATAATTGTTTCAAAACACTTTTGAAGTTCAACGCCCACGAAAATAATATTAGTGGGACAAAGGACAGGTTAAATTTCGAGCGTTGACCATTTTTTTTAACTATCATCGTAACCCGGACAGCGTCGAACAATTAATATAACATACAAGGTCGAGCATAACACGCTGGTCTGTGTTGGGGACTTTAAAATTGTTAATTTTCAAAACAATACATTTTGTATCAAATTAATACACGAACGACTTTGACAGAATGATCTAAATTCAAAACGTTGTCTTTACTCCTCGTACATAAAAAATAATATTTTTATTCATAAAATTAACCAATTATTTTCCTCCTAATAACCATGTAAAAATTGCAGACCTCGAGGTCATCTCTATACGACGACGAGGGGTAAATAATCAATAGGCCGAAGAGCCTTGGAGTTCATGACTCATATTATCTTCTATGTAAACTTACTAGAAGTCGGTAAATGTTTCATAAAAGTGTTATAAACACAAAGTTCTGCCCTCTAAGCCGTCCTAAGCGAAATCCGTCAAGGATACACGGTTGTCACGATGATAAACCGTGGCAATTAGTCCGATTGGTCGTTCCATTCGTTAACGTTGTCGTTTTCCTGCATAAATTAAGAAGCTCCTAATGAAACGCATAACGTCGTAGGTACGCGTTGACAATTATTATTCGAAATGTTATCAAATGAAACTATACAATTTTAAACATGATGCGCGGATTACTATAAAACGGTCGAGCCCAAGTACCGTGTAACTGAATATTCGTAAGTTCTGATTTCTGAATTAGCAACACAAGTCGGTACAACAAATCGAATGTAACATGTGTTGTGCAATATACCTAGTGTACGACCCAATTGTTGTGTAACGTTCAACGGTCGGACAAAACGGTAATGTACTACTGTCTCGATCGAGTTTTTACAATGTCACTGGCTGCTCATTAGTTTTAATTGAACATTAATTGAATTCCACCGTCGCTGGTACAAAGTATAGTTATATACTATATGACTTAGTTGTGCGGTTTGTCGAGTGTGTTATTTATTATTTTATCTTCTCCCGTACCCGGTTTTCTATAATACTTGTAATATTCTACCGAGTGTCACCACAATTTAACGTTTTTTCTTTGTTGGTAAAATATGGCGTCACACGTTATGTGTA